GTCTCATCTTTTTGCCCAGGTTCTAAAGCAGCTTCGGGTGCGACATAGGATGTCTACAGCATACCATCCTGAAAGCCAGGGGGCTTTAGAGCGGTTCCATCAGTCTCTACTGCGTGCCTATTGTACAGAGCTGGGAGGAGACTGGGAGGAAGGATTGCCGTGGTTGATGTTGGGGGCCCGTGAGGTTACCCAGGGGAGCACTGGGTTTAGCCCTAATGAACTTGTGTTTGCGCATACAGTTAAAGGTCCCCTAGCAGCAGTGGCAGGCGATTTCAGGGAGCCTGAACCGCCAAAGAAACTTGTGGACTATGTGAATGGGTTTAGGAGACGCTTGTATGCAGCGAGAGCAATGGTGCAGGAGAAAATGGCTGCCACACAGGGGAAAATGAAAGCACTGTTTGACCGGCACTCAGAGGTGCGTTCATTTTTGCCGGGGGATCAGGTGTTGGCCCTGTGTCCAATGTTAACCTCTCCTTTTCAAGCCAAGTTCACAGGTCCTTATACGGTACTGGAGCGAAAGTCTGACCAGAACTAGGTAATCTCCATGCCTGAGCGCAGGAAGAAGACTCAACTGTGCCACGTGAACCTGTTGAAGCCATACTATACCCGTGAGGCTGGTGTGGAGCAGCTGGGGGGTGGCAGGGCTAAGGCAGCGTGCGCAGTTGATAGGTTTGTTGGGGTGACTGAGTTCAGCACCACGGACAGCTCCCTGTCACCTGGTGTGAGAGATGACAGTGACGCTGGTACTCTGGACAGCGCTCTTGTTCAGGGGCGTCTTAAAAACTCGGAAACTTTGAGGAACTTGGACTCTCTGTTTGCTCATCTGACGGGGGACCGGGCAAAGCAGTTAGTGCAGTTGGTGGATCAGTTTCCTGCTTTATTTTCGGACACACCGGGTCGCACACATCTACTCGAGCACGATGTAGATGTGGGTGACTCCAGGCCTATAAAGCAGCGTTTTTATAGGGTTAATTTTGAGAAGCGTCAATACTTGGATGCAGAAGTCAAGTACATGGTTGAAAATGGGATTGCAGAACATACTTGTTCAAGCTGGGCGTCCCCATGTATTCTTGTGCCCAAATCTGACAACTCTATGCGATTTTGTTCAGATTTCCGAAAGTTGAACGCAGTTACTAAACCAGACTGTTTCCCATTGCCGAGAATGGACGACTGCGTGGATCAAGTTGGTTCCGCTCGGTTTGTCAGCAAATTCGACCTTTTAAAGGGATACTGGCAGGTGCCGTTAACTCGACGAGCCCGTGAAGTCTCAGCGTTCATTACACCAACAGGCTTGTACTCCTATACAGTCATGCCATTTGGTCTACGAAATGCACCCGCAACATTTCAACGACTCATGAACAGCGTCATAGGAGATATGCCGGGTTGTGCGGTGTATTTAGACGACGTTGTTGTGTATTCGGACTCGTGGGAGGAGCATTTGGCACGCATTGAGGAGCTTTTCACTCGTTTGCTAGGGGCGAGGCTAACTGTAAACCTTGCAAAGTGTGAGTTTGCGAAGGCTACTGTTACTTATCTGGGACGTGTCGTGGGTCAGGGCCAGGTCCGACCCGTTGCAGCTAAAGTTGAAGCCGTTGAGCAGTTCCCTGTTCCGGTCACAAAAAAGGAGCTAATGCGATTTTTGGGACTCGTTGGGTACTACAGGTGTTTTTGTAAAGATTTTTCATCGGTTGTCTCACCATTAACAAACTTGCTGCGTAAAGATGTTACATTTTTGTGGGCTCCAGTCTGTCAGCAGGCATTCGAGCAGGTGAAAAGACTCCTGTGCTGCTCCCGTGCTTGCCGCGCCTCGTCTGACCCAACCATTTCATCTCTACGTGGACGCAAGCCACGTGGGCGCTGGGGCTGTCCTTACGCAAGTAGATAACCTTGGTATCAACAGACCGGTCAGTTATTTCTCTAGGAAGTTCAACAAACATCAGCTGAATTATTCAGTGATTGAGAAGGAGACCTACGCGTTAATTCTAGCGTTGCAACACTTTGACGTCTACTTGAATGGCAGCGTTGAGACGGTGGTCCACACCGACCATAATCCGCTCACGTTTTTGTCAACTTTTAAGTGTCCAAACCAGCGGTTAATCCGTTGGTCACTGTTTTTACAGTCATATAACTTGGACATCCGCTACATTAAAGGATCCGATAATGTGGTAGCTGACGCTTTGTCGCGCGCTCCGTTGTGATAGTGTTGCCATTGTATGTTCCTCTCTTCTTTCTCACTCTCCTTGTATCCAGGTTTCTGTGTGCACCAGTTGCTGGACGGAGGAGTGGACTGGGACGGAGTTGGAGGACGCGCTAGTGGCCGTTCTTTCTTTTGGCGTCTCGTTGCAGGGTTCCTTTGGGGGAACCTGCATTTTAAGGGCGGGGGTGTGACGGCCCCCTCTGCTGGGCCTGTGGTGGCAGTGTTCATGACATTCTGAGATGATGGGAGGCAGCTGGGAAGTCATGTGACCTCCCGGATGCTTCAAAAAGCGGCTTCTCCTCACTCTCGCTCTCTCATCTGGCTTCTGGGCACCTGCCGGCGTGCCCGGACTGCCGCTACCATTCTGGGCCCTGTTGGACCAGCCGCCACGCCACGCTTGTTTGTCCTTTCATTTACACGCACTACAACACAATATTTGCACTACAACGGTTGTCCTACTGACTTTCATATACAACACCTTGCACCCCACAGCATACCATTCACTTACACTGATTTCATACAGATTCCTTTATTATTGTTTAAATAAATGCCCCACAGAGGGTTTAAATTTCTCAGTTTGTCGTGTCCTCCCTCTCATGTTATGGTCTCACGAGCCGGGCCGTAACACCGACACAGAACTTGAGCAAGTCCGACAACAGTATTTTGAGTTGTCGAAGAGAGGTGAACAGCTTAACTGCCAGATGTCAAAGGAGCTCAGATGCCGGCTCATTCGAAACACCATGACCAGTATGATCGCAATCCTGAGGGCAAAGGGTGATAGAGAATCACACAGATACCCATCAAAGCCAGAAATTACAGCAATGGCAAAAAGAATCGTGCTGTACTATCCCATGCTGCAGGACCAAGGCCTCCGTACATGGGTAAGTGAAATGTATCCAGTTGATGACTGTGTTTCATGTTGGACATTTTTAGCAGTGATTTGAATAATGTATTAAATTTCTTGTGCAGCTCACTGTGTACTCACAGCTCTACAAAAAAATACAAAATGTGAGATCCTCCCAAAAAAGAACCCCAGATTGGAGACATTCAAAGAGGTGAGCTGTACCTAAAGATTATTTTCATTTAAGATTGATCTGTTAATCATTTTCTAGATTAATTGATCAGTTGTCTGGTCAATATAAAGTCCAAGGTGATGTCGTCAAAAGTCTTGTTTGGGCCACAACCTAAGGATATTAATTTCACTGTCATAGAGGACTAAAGAAGGTAGAACCTTTTCACATTATAGAAACTTAAATCATATTTGGACACTAAAAAGTATATTTTCCTCACTTCCTGTTTTTTTGTGTTTGACCACAAGGTAATTGCTTTGGATGTGTGCGGGAGATATTGCTTTATTACTAAGCACTTTGTGTTACATTTTGTTTGTATAAAAAGTGCTGTGTTGTTGACAACTAATTGATTGACTAATCTTTGCAGCTCTTCAAAGAGGTGCTGTCTTGAGCCGCCAACAGACACGGATGAAATGGATTTAAGTGACTCAACTGTAATTCTGGATCGGTCCACAGAAGGAACTGGCAGCCCAGGCTCAGACGGTAAAGAAAGTGAGTTAGTGACAGTTAGTGACAGGTGAGTTTCAACTTTTCATTTACAGATTTGTCCTTATGAGGTATTTATATTTTAGATTAACTAATAAACCCACTTTATTGGTCATCATAACAGTACTGACATGACAGAAGTGTAAGGCTTTTAAATTGACATCAGAGGATTCTTGTTTACACTATATTTATACTGTTTTATTTTCAAAGTATTAACATTATTGTAGAAATTAAGTTCTACCAGAAATCTGGTATTAATAAAAAGCTGGTATTATCAGTCACTGCAAAATTACTTTCTATATCCTCTCCAGCATATCAAATGTTATGTATTTAAAACCCATATGTCTCATTTGTGGCATTTTTGCTCTTTTTAATTGAATGTAATTAATTTTAGTTCCAAAATGATCCTTAAAGTACATTATCCTATCAGAAATATTTCTGTGTCATGTGTTGAAGGAAGAAGATCCCAAAGCCTTCCTGAAGAAGCACCTTCTGCCTTCTCCAGTCCTGATGGTGAGTTTGTCCACCTCATGACTGTGTGTAGTAAGGGTATGTGCATCTTTGTAGGGGTGTAGTTTTGTGCGTACATGCAATTTTATGAGATTGCAATTGGTTGTTCTTGGGCTTTCATCAGATGTCGGTCCGGGGATCCTCTGCTGACTAGCCGATTGGGGGATCCAGATGTTCTGATGGAGAATGTTATATGGTTAGTTTTAAACACACGTAGAAAATAATAAAAATAAAATAAAATCTGTTTACTTTTTCCTAGTTGAAATGTAGATTCTGAGATCTTTAAGAACGAGTGAATCTTCTTCTCCAGTGGTCTGAAACTAAAAGAAGACGGGGTTAATGCCATACATTTTCAGATATAATATTACAAAACAGAGATGCTAGGAGTGTGTGTGCGAAATCGCACACACACATATGGTAGAGATAGTGCACCCATACACACACACACATTATTTTCAGAGTCTAGGGGGGCATGCTGGACGCACACAGACGCGTGGAGGGAGAGAGAGGGTGGGGGCTATACAGACACATACACACACACATGATTCCTCCCTGATGCACACACAGACATTGCCCCAGGATATCTCTTTATACTCGGAGAGATGAGTATACAAAATTGGGCATTGAGTGTGTATGCTAGGCACACACACCTAAGGTAGGGATAGAAAAGAGACTACAGTAACTTATCATGAAAATAACAAAATTCAAGTACTCACAGAGATGTGGTAGGGCCTAGCTCAAAACTGGAAGGTGCAGACTCTTCTCAATCTGGAGATGCAGACTCTTCTTGATGCTGGAGATGCAGACTCTTCTTGATGCTGGAGATGCAGACTCTTCTTGATGCTGGAGATGCAGACTCTTCTTGATGCTGGAGGTGCAGGCTCTTCTTGATGCTGGAGGTGCAGGCTCTTCTTGATGCTGGAGGTGCAGGCTCTTCTTGATGCTGGAGATGCAGGCTCTTCTTGATGCTGGAGGTGCAGGCTCTTCTTGATGCTGGAGGTGCAGACTCTTCTTGATGCTGGAGGTGCAGACTCTTCTTGATGCTGGAGGTGCAGACTCTTCTTGATGCTGGAGGTGCAGACTCTTCTTGATGCTGGAGATGCAGACTCTTCTTGATGCTGGAGGTGCAGACTCTTCTTGATGCTGGAGGTGCAGGCTCTTCTTGATGCTGGAGATGCAGGCTCTTCTTGATGCTGGAGGTGCAGACTCTTCTTGATGCTGGAGGTGCATGCTCTTCTTGATGCTGGAGGTGCATGCTCTTCTTGATGCTGGAGGTGCAGGCTCTTCTTGATGCTGGAGGTGCAGACTCTTCTTGATGCTGGAGATGCAGACTCTTCTTGATGCTGGAGGTGCAGACTCTTCTTGATGCTGGAGGTGCAGACTCTTCTTGATGCTGGAGGTGCAGGCTCTTCTTGATGCTGGTGCAGACTCTTCTTGATGCTGGAGGTGCAGACTCTTCTTGATGCTGGAGATGCAGACTCTTCTTGATGCTGGAGATGCAGACTCTTCTTGATGCTGGAGATGCAGACTCTTCTTGATGCTGGAGATGCAGACTCTTCTTGATGCTGGAGGTGCAGACTCTTCTTGATGCTGGAGGTGCAGACTCTTCTTGATGCTGGAGGTGCAGACTCTTCTTGATGCTGGAGGTGCAGACTCTTCTTGATGCTGGAGATGCAGACTCTTCTTGATCCTGGAGATGCAGACTCTTCTTGATGCTGGAGATGCAGACTCTTCTTGATGCTGGAGATGCAGGCTCTTCTTGATGCTGGAGGTGCAGGCTCTTCTTGATGCTGGAGGTGCAGGCTCTTCTTGATGCTGGAGGTGCAGACTCTTCTTGATGCTGGAGATGCAGACTCCTCTTGATGCTGGAGGTGCAGACTCTTCTTGATGCTGGAGGTGCAGACTCTTCTTGATGCTGGAGGTGCAGACTCTTCTTGATGCTGGAGGTGCAGACTCTTCTTGATGCTGGAGGTGCAGACTCTTCTTGATGCTGGAGGTGCAGACTCTTCTTGATGCTGGAGGTGCAGACTCTTCTTGATGCTGGAGATGCAGACTCTTCTTGATGCTGGAGGTGCAGGCTCTTCTTGATGCTGGAGGTGCAGGCTCTTCTTGATGCTGGTGCTGCAGACTCTTCTTGATGCTGGAGGTGCAGACTCTTCTTGATGCTGGTCAACTCTGATCAATCTCATGGGGTCAGTATTTATACACATAGAAGAGATAGACCAACCCACATCCTAGACTTATCAATTGTCTCACTTTTGGCACAGGAATTATTTTCTCCCTGCAGGTGCCATCCTTTTGAGAAACTTTTATTTTGAAAAACACGCGGGAAGATTTTCTCCCATGTCATTGGGCTTATCAATTGTCACTCTTAAGGGGAAGATGTTTTCTCACAGGGCCTTCTTTTGAGGAAGTTTTCTTTTAAAAAACACACAGGAAGATTTTCTCCCACCATGCTTAAAGTTAAAGGAAAATAGAACAAAAACATTTTTCCACCCATCAATCATGAAAGCTGGACCATCATACAGAGAGGGGGGCAAATTCTTCATCTCACCCACATATGAATGACCATATTTCACCCCTTGTGACCTCTGGGTTCCCATGCTTTTTAGATAATAGAGGGGGCGTGGCTAAAGTCAAAAGGTCATCCATCAAAGTTTGACAGAAAGTGCTTCCTTCTTTCTCTCACATTATATTTGCTTTGAGCATATAATATTTGCTGTGAGCGCTAAGCTTTGAGTGTACGTATGGTCCGGAGCGGTCCGAAGCGACCCGAAGCAGAGTTGCCAGTGATAAATGGTGAGAGGGCTGCTGCAGAGCCAGTGCGCGGTGTGCCGATGCTTTGAGTGGCATAAAATAGTGATAAACTGTGCTAAATCCCGAGGTGTGGAGCCATGGTGCTTTAGGCAGTGAATAAATGACCGGGAGCCGTGTCAATGGCTTGGAATACTGTTTGAGCATTTTTTGAGCGCTGGTCACTGTGACGTCAGGACAGAGCGCCGTTTTGGTCACAACCCCTGTTGGCACAGAGACTGCTCTTTTAAAGATTTCATTTAATTTCATTTTCAACCCCTTTGTCCATTTCTGGGTCGGGGGGGTGGCAATGAGAGCTGCCACCCAACGCCCATAGCACCAGTCCCTCACTGATCTTCTGCAGGTGGTGAGTCCACAGGAAGATGGCTGCTCGGTCAGTTGTGAAACAGCCTTGGTCTTTCAGCGGGGGGCCTCAGGCAACGTGGGGTTAAGTGTCTTGCCCAAGGACACTTGGGCTCACAACCTCACAACCTCCAGGCCCAAAGGCCAATGCTCTACCAACTGTCGCCCCTCTTTTATTTTTTTATTTTTATGTTTTATTTAAAATGATTTTAGAGTAAATTATGATTCTAAAAAGGAGACCGTGTTGGTTCTACTGGATCTTAGCACTGCCTTCGATACAGAAGACCACACCATTCTTTTATCCTGCCTGAAACACCTCGGCCTCTCTGGTGCTGTCCACAAATGGTTCACTTCTTATTTAACAGACAGATCCTTCATGGTAAGTTTGGATACCTGCTCCTCTCAGGTCCATAAAATCACATGTGGTGTGCCCCAGGGTTCCATTTTAGGTCCAGTCCTTTTTAACCTGTACATGCTCCCTCTTGGCGGTGTCGTCAGGAGACATGGAATTAACTTCTACAGTTATGCAGATGATACACAGCTGTACATCTCCATGTCTCCTGATGACACCAGGCCAATGGATGCTCTTTTTAACTGCATTTTAGACCTGAAATCCTGGATGGCAGAAAATTTTCTCCAGCTCAACCAGGACAAAACTGAGGTTTTAGTCATCGGTCCCTAGGCCCAGAGAGAGAAACTTTTATCAAAACTCCAAACACTCTTTTAATCCATTGTCACAAGTGAAAAACCTGGGCGTAATTTTTCACTCTGAGCTTACTTTTATTCCCCACATTAAAGCTGCACTAACTGACTTTATTTTGTATTCATTACAAAAATGCTATCCATGTCCATACAGTGCATTAGGATATACGTCCTTTTGAAGAAAAAGTAGCGCAGGGTTGTGCTGGCGTGACATTATATTTTAGATCGAGTTTTGATGAAACAAGAGAATGCGTTTCGGGTCATAGATTGTGACCAATCACAGCGGACCACTAGCCCCCAATTTTGTGAGAAATCTACAGGTCTCGGTTGTTTGTTCAGAGTAAGCCGCCGTATGACGTAATGCACAGCCGGCACTTCCGCATTCCTCGGTTATTTTCTAGTGTATTTAAGCAGGCTAGACGCGATACACGGGTAGGCTGCCCTCCCGATCATCAAACTATCCACTGTGTTCCCGTTTCTCTCCCAGCTAGAAGCTGTAGTCCGGGTAGGTTGTGGTTTGTTTGTTTGTGTTTTAGACGCTGTCAAGTAACCCCATTGACCTGTCCGGGGTGCGTCAGCCTGGGAGGGCATCTTTATCTGTCAGCTCAGACAATATATCACTCTAGGTATTCAGACTGCTTTTATAAGGGTTCAATTGGGGATTGAATGTAGAATATGAATTTGTTTGTTTCTTTTGTAGAGTTAGCAGGCTACATGTCGTTTTTATTTGGGTCTAATGCTAGGGTTGTTTTTTAGTCAGGTACTGCGTGGACGAGTCTGTACCCCTTACATTTGATTTTGAGATAATTCTCTCTTTTTGGGTATTTACTTTGACCTGTATACTGTACTTGACACTGTTCTCCCTGTGCTCTAGGACTGGTGGAGGTTTGGTGATAGAGTTTCTCACTGCTGCACCATCACTCCCCTCGTGTGCTGTGGTATTTTTGCACTCACCATTACTGCATGTTTTAGTTATCCTAGATTTGGTTTTGCGTTTGTGTGTGTGTGTGTGTGTGTGTGTGTGTGCACGTGTGACTGCACTGTGTGTAGTGTGTACTCTGTCCTATTTACATATTTGCCCTCTGACCGCGTGCACCTGCGGCCGACTAGTCCTGGCCATTCTTAAAAGCATTTGTTCAAATTAACCACTGTTATTTATTAAAACTAGCATTTTAACATAGCCTAAAATAAACATACATTTTTCATACATTTCTAATAACGTGCTTTTTTTCCCTTTTGTAAATTAAAAATAAACCTTTAAAAACTTTCATGGCATGTGTCTCTTTTTAACTTTTCACTGCATCCTTACCTGTGTATAATAAAACACTGTTCAATTTGGCTCTCCCCCGGTTCTGTTAACACAGACAGCTGAGTTAGCACAACAAGCGGAGGAGCTAACCTGAAGCTTCCTTGTCTTCGTCACCAGTTACTGCTTACACAGCGAAACAGCCAAAAGAAAGTCCCGTTCCTCCGCGCTTCCCTGTTGTATCATTCTATGGTCACGCCATCATACCTGTCAACCTGCGTGGCTCTATGCCCTTACAAATTCCAGAATTTTACCATACAAATCAGTAAAAATTCTTACGCCTCAGATAGGAATATGTCTTTGGAGCACTGAAGCGACTATCCATGGGCCGATAAGTCTTTGCGATTTCTGCATTTTCCACGTGCTTTTTAGTGTTGAAATGAGTCTTCAAATCGTAGAATCCTGAAGCTTTTACTTTCACATCTTTCTTGCAAGGAAAGCAGTATGAAAACTCATCTCCCTTTGTTGATGCTTTGATCATTTGATCTTCATATGGTCCTTTCATGGATTCCCATTCCTTTTGATGCCTACCATGGCCGGCAGTTTTCCATTGTTTTGCTGCTGGTCCTTCCATGTTAAAAAACTTAAAAATGGTCGACTATTACGAAATAACCGGGAACTAGCTTCTACGCATGCGCAATTGCTCGTCTGTTAGCCCGACTGGAATATTCGTTCAGCTTAGTAGAAAACGCCAAGATTGATTCTGGCTGGATTGTCGTCTGCTGACTTTATTAGCCGTGGAACATGTTTCGAGACATTGCGGATTAACGCGGGGTAGGGGAGTTTTTTTTCCCCCGTACTGATTATTTGTGTACGTCGTACATGTTTGAAATATCATTTTTTGCGTACAAATTACGGGAAAATCGTACAGGTTGATAGGTGTGCGCCATCCACGTCCATTAAAGAACATCGCCAGAGTCCGCCATTCTCTCTCGGGGAAACACGGAGACCCTGATGCATGCTTTTATCTCCAGTCGCATTGACTACTGGCAAGAGCTCTGGTGTGTGTTGTCTGGTGCACACTGGGGTAGTCTTGCACAGTTTTTCCTATGTGGTTTAACTGCAAATGGCAAATAAATGAATCTGAATCTGATCTACTGTAATGCCCTGCTCTCTGGTCTTCCCAAAAAGAACATTGCAGGTTTAAAATTACTTCAAAACTCAGCAGCACGTGTCCTGACTAAGACCAGGGGGCGGGACCACATTACACCGGTTTTAAAATCGCTGCATTGGCTCCCCGTGTGTTTCAGGATCGATTTTAAGGTCCTTTTAATGATTTTTAAATGTCTTAATGGTCTTGGGCCTTCTTATCTTTCAGATTTGCTTTTATCCTATGAACCTTCCCGGCCCCTGCGCTCCTCCGGCAGCAGACTTCTAACCATTCCAAAAGTCAGGACACACACTCACGGCGAGGCATCTTTCCAGCACTACGGCCCCCGTCTCTGGAACAGTCTGCCGGAGGAGCTCAGGGCCGCAGAGAACATTCATATTTTTAAAAGTAGGCTCAAGACACACTTTTTTAGATTAGCTTTTGATTAGTTTTTATTGTTGCGTTTTATATATTCTATTTATCTTTTTTTATTTATTATATTGTTTGGTGCTATTATTCATGTATTGTGTGATAGTTAAGTGTTTTACTTTTTTATTGTATTGTTTTTAGTATTCCCAGTGTTTCCTCTGGAGGAGCCCTCTGCACTGGGAGCAGTGGTCGGTGTGGCTGTGGGGGTCGGACTCTTGGGCCTGGTGGGGGCCTCGGTTTCATGTCTCCTCTAGATCCTGTGTCGTCCCCTGTGGCTACAGGCGGCTCTCTGCTCCTGGTGCAGAGCAGATGACGCTTTTTCAGCTGGTTGCATCTGAACCCTGCCAAGTCTCTCATCATGGTTTTATTGTTTTACTGGTGTGTGTGTGTGTGTGTGTGAGAAGGCGTGAATTCGTCTGTGTGTGTTTGTCTGCGTGTTTGGTTTGGGATGGGTCTGTTGGGTGGTCGGGGGGAGGGGTCATGGGCCGGCTCGACTATTTTTAACCAAACTGTAAAGCACTTTGTGTTGCATCTGTATGAAAAGCGCTTTATAAATCAAATTTGATGGTTTGATTTTGCACAATTTTGACATGAAGAATTGTTTTGAGAGAGGGAGGAAGAAGGGGGGTCTCCATAGTAAATGAATAGAATAGGAAGTACCTGGCCCACTCCTCAGGAGACACTGCACTGATGTACAATATGACTGAAACTAGAACAGTTTTACTGTTTTTGTTTTCTGTTCAGTCCATTTTCACTACAGACACAGAACTTCATTAACCCACAGTGACTTCATTAAGTTGAGCAAGAATTGCTTTCATTCTTTATTTTGTGCTCAGATGTTAGATGTAGGCTGGATGTCGCCGGATGTCAAAGTTGTGGACAACGCTCCTGTAACGTTAACGCTGCTGTTAGATAACGGGAAACTAGGATCAGAAGCATAGTTTATGTAATCTGAACGTTTAAAAGTAATTTAGCCTACACACGCTGTGTATAAGCCTTACGATGTTTGTTAGGTTAACTTTCCTGATAAACTTAGCATTTATGCTAATGGAATGTCAGATGATCAGATATTATGCTTTTACAGTTTTTCTCTTTGCTTAAACACATTTCATGATACAGCCCTCCCTTTTCTCAAAACTCTAAACACAAAACACCTTTCTAAAGCTACAGGCACACAACCTCAGTCTCTTTTCAAAACCAACCCATCACACCAAAACAGTTTCTCATATTCTCAAAAGAAAATTCTGACACCAAAATACCACTCAATTTCTGCAAAAATGTGAACACTATGAGCATCATTATTACCAAAACATTTGAAAACACAATTTTCAGAGTGTGAGACTATAGTTATTTCACAATTTAATGCAAACAAGAGTAACTCCTGGATCCATGACACACAATGGATACAACAGTACAGCAAGAAAACACTATGTTCAGAGTGTGATTTATTTTATTACAGTATGTTGTACAGTATGTTGTACAGTATGTTGTACAGTATGTTGACACTGAAATCATTAGGCGGCATCACGTCATCGGGCTGGGTCGGGCCACAGGACCTCATCAACATCACAGGCAATATTGTCCGCAGCCAAATAACGCTCCTCTCCCTCCTCTGATAAAGACTCTTCTTCTTCTGCCTTGATCCTCCGTTTTTGTTTGGAACCTTCATCAAACTGCACTGACTTACACAGTTGTGGTCACATCATTTGCAACAGGAGTTCTCAGTTCTGAGTCGCTGTGTTTGCTGAAGAACCCAATGAACAGACCTGGTGTCAAAGTTTTGCTGACTGTGGGAAGCATTTTTCATCACATGAGCTTCACAATGAAAATTGGAGCAGAGATACATGCAAAATGTGTTTTAGCAAAAGCAAAATGTGTTTAGAATTTTGATAAAAAGGGAATGGGCTTTGTGAACAGTGTCTACAGGAGAATTGTGTTTATGGTTGTGAAAAGTGGGGGGTGGATTTACTAAATGTGTTTAGGCCACCGGTCATTTGGTTTAGAGTACTGGGTTTTGTGTTGTAGCAATAGAGAAAAACTGTAAATCGGTATAAAATGTTTAGCCTACATTGTCGAACACTTTCCAATATCATCACCACTATTTCTATTAGTTTCTATTCCAGAAAGTCTCTGGGATAGCTGTGCCACACACACACAAACACACACTTTTTGTTGTCAATTATAGGCTACATGGTTTGGTTATCAAGTTTAGCCTATATCATTTACAGGCATAGTAATGTTAAACTAAAATGTACTTTTGCTTGTGTTCTATTTTAGATGCACTGACTCAACGACAGTACGGCGAGTACATATATGCATTCGCACAAGCTGTGCAGAAGTGGCTGTGTTACGCCCCAGACCGAGTGGGAGAAGCTGGACGACCGACGCGGAGTGAGCACGTTAAAAGAAAAAAAAAGAATTCAGATACAATACAAATTTCTTTTTAAAAGATGCTTGGGGTGTCATTTGTGCTAGTCTAGGCTATAGCCTTAAGATCTGCTATAGTTTCTCTGTTCTATATTTTGCTAGCCCATCCTGGCTGTCAATAAAGCAGGATTAAAATAGCCTGATAATATTTGTAATGTATTAATTTATACCTTCAGATTAAACCTATACTATAATAGCCTACCATTGAAGTTTTGTTGATATTATTGTTGATACCTTGGATTTCAACATTGTTTCAATGTCCATTATAATCGAAATACCATTGAAATCCTGTGGATCTATAGGAATGATTTCAACGTTACTTCAATAATGATAGAGGGTGCAACATGATGTAGAATCAACATCAGAGTTCAACGTTGATTCAATTATTCTTTGACAGCAGGATGTTGATTTAACATTGTTTCAATTACTATTTGCTATCTGGGAAGGATTTTCCTCTCATCAGCAAACACACGTTATTACATTTAGGCATGATACATATTATTTGTAAGTGATGCACAAACGAGGGCCATAGCAAATATATCATAAAATATAATTTTGTAAAAATGAATAATTACTGCCAATACAATTATTATAAGAGAGAAAGTCTGTCACAAAAGCTTCGTCTTTGGGTTTTCAGAATTAAGATTGTGAGAGCTCCACTGATGTTTACAATGTGTCCCCACGTTTAGACGCTTTAAATCTTTATTTATACACCGCCTTTCACAGACCAGTCACAAAGCGGTTTACAATTGTTATTTCTGGGCACTTTCCTCTCACTCCACACAGAGATGGGAGCGGGGTCGCCGAACAGGAGGCGCATGCCAGATCTAGGGGAAACCGGAGTACCCGGAGGAAACCTACGCAGACACGGGGAGAACATGCTAACTCCACTCAGAAAGACCCTGGTTCGAATCCCGGTCGGATTCAAACCCAGGACCTTCTTGCTGAGAGGCGAGAGTGCTATCCACTCAGCCACCGTGCCCCCCAAATGTTCAATTTTATCACCAAAAAGACCTCTGATATGGTATTTCTCCCCTCAAATGTTGTTAGAACTAACTTTTATGTCCTAATTAAAGCGTACTTTAAACTTTTTACCTTCCATCTTGGCTGCTGTGTCCTTCCGCTCCGAGTTGTGTTGGCAACAGAAGCCCCGCCGCAAAACGCTCTTTTCCCTCTAGTGTTCTGGACGTGCTGTGACAGTGTCTGCCAGAATCTGTCACAACGACACCCAAGACTTTTTAGGTCTGAATCCTTAATGCATTAATGCTGCGATGCCTCTTCACGGAGCTTCATATTGCCATTTCTTATTTCTTCTTTGTTAAACGTGAAATAACCTAATCTCGACCCTGAATTGATAAGAAATTACAGACCAAATCTAAAATCCTTGAAAAGCTCAATGCCATACCTTCATACTGTGGCACCTTGTGTTCCCAAACCTTTCCCAACACAGTACTAACCAGGCCCTGCCTTGTATAGTTTGAGATCTTGTCCATGTGCCCCAGGGCAGCTGTGGCTACATTTAATTAATTCAATTAAGCAATTTATCACAACTGTGTACGGAATGAATGAATGACATGTGAAGCAACATTGTTCATTTTTATAGCAGTTTTTTTGGACACTAAATGTTCATAAATGACATTTTCCCACGTTTTTATTGCTCCGAATGAAGGAGTGGTACAACATCTGTTAACACTGTTGGTTGCTGCGTTAGAAAACACAATACAACAACTATAACAATACAATATTTACAAATGCCCCATGAATAAAAAAAGTTCACATTTACAGTGTGTGATAGTTTTCAACAAACTTTAAACAAAATACAATCAAAACTCAATAAGTTAAATTATGCACCAACGGAACACCGCCTGTTTTTCTTCCATTCAAGCTACAAGACTTTCTCCAAGTCCAACTTATTTAACTCAGATAATGTTTCTCTCAGTGCAGATAAAGTGATTTAAAAACAGCTTAACTATCATAAATAGCTAAAACATCAAATTCCCTCATGTGCTCAAAGATCGTATGAACCCTTTTTCATTGCGTTCAAAACCAGGACAAAATAACTGCTTCAACTTAGCTTTGTCCAGTCCAGTGTCATCTAATATTTACGGTCTATAATGTAATCCATGTCACCGTACTGAAAGTCATGTCTGATAAAACGTGGAGGTTGAGTGCGACATCATTTCTAGCTTCGGAGTTCAAATCGGTGGCAGCTTCACTTCTGCTTATTTTTTAGGCGACTTGATCAAGTAAACTAATGCTATGGTAGCGCTCTGCTAACAGCGGTTCTGTTTAGCCCCGTCAACTATGCCATGCCAACAGAGAGGACAGAGAAAGGCCAGCTGATTTCTAATAGACTGACTGTCCTTTTGCGTACAGTTAGCTTAAGCCTGTACCCTGAAGAACAGTGTGACATTTAATGGGTCTCAGGAAGTTCCCCCACACTTTGGGCGTGTGTGAAACATTTTAAAAAGTTGATTTACTGCATTTTTCTCATCATTAAGTTGGGGGTTTTTATATAAAAAAATGGTGATAAGTCCAGTGTAACAACAATTTTACATGTTGTTACACTGACAGCCACAGGGGGCGCAGTTTCTCTTGTGACGCTGAGCACACAGGCTACCACTTTCACACATGCACACACACTAAAATAGATAAAACCATAAAAACAGAGCAGAGTGGAGGTCAAAAGCAGCATCTTGAATATGGATTTTTCGGCTGGTGCGACTTGTACTTAAACACACATTTGCCCGTTTTAAAATCTGCGTTGGTCAAGAATAAAACCTTATCAGCCGATTCTCACATACCGATACTTACAGCAGTAGCAGCTATCAACATGCACAAAGCCAGGATCATTTCAAGGCCGAGTTTGGAAATAAATTAATTGGTCTAAAATCAGATCGTAACAGTGATATAGTGCACCTCCAAGTCTGTCTACATAAAGAAGCACATTTGAATAAACCCAGTGCCGTCCGATTCCCCACCGTAACTTCACCTCCACTATAAACTTAACAAAAATACAATGTAAGAGCGTTGGACTGGATGTGGCGGTGTTGCCGTAGTAACACAGTGATGGAGAGTATCAGCCCCAAAGGTCCTCTGTGCGCCCGAACTTGTAGATCAGAGTACTGAAAAGACAGAGCACAGACTGTAACTACATGTCCAGTGTTAAGGAAGTTATTAGGTATTTAAGATGATTTTTATTTTTTTGCGGAAAGCCCGCCTTTCAAGAGAAATTTAGGTTTCCACAGGACCAATCTAGGTTTATTTTGGTTCTCTCCGGTCTTTTCACTCGAGTGTCGCCCTTGCTTTTGCCAATCTTCCATTTTTGCAGACAATCAAAACAATCAGTTACTTTGTTAGCGGCTAATCGGCTACAGAAAAATAGACTTGCCAATCAACTGTGCGTCCGGATCTGCTAGCATTGGAAAAGGGGACGTGTGATTGGTGCCGAGTACAAAATTGACAGTGAAATAGTGAGACAACCCATACTGAACTTCCTTGAACTTAATTTTGGCCGAAACACGACACATGTCTGAACTAATCGTCTTCTGTACATTTAAAGATGTTTTGTGGAAAGTAAAACAGAAAGCTGAACTCCATATTATCAAAGGTAGTACTAGATAGAGTAGAGCAATATTTTTATTAATAAATACATTTTTTCAGGTAATTTCCATCTGAGGTTTCTGTGACTCTATGGCGTCTGCTTGTTGTGACTCTATGGCGTCTGCTTGTTGTGACTCTATGGCGTCTGCTGTTGTGACTATGACGTCTGCTTGTTGTGACTCTATGTCTGCTTGTTGTGACTCTGCTTGTTGTGACTCTATGGCGTCTGCTTGTTGTGACTCTATGTCTGCTTGTTGTGACTCTATGTCTGCTTGTTGTGACTCTATGTCTGCTTGTTGTGACTCTATGTCTGCTTGTTGTGACTCTATGTCTGCTTGTTGTGACTCTGTCTGCTTGTTGTGACTCTGTGTCTGCTTGTTGTGACTCTATGACGTCTGCTTGTTGTGACTCTATGACGTCTGCTTGTTGTGACTCTATGGCGTCTGCTTGTTGTGACTCTATGGCGTCTGCTTGTTGTGACTCTATGACGTCTGCTTGTTGTGACTCTATGACGTCTGCTTGTTGTGACTCTATGACGTCTGCTTGTTGTGACTCTATGACGTCTGCTTGTTGTGACTCTATGACGTCTGCTTGTTGTGACTGTCTTGTCTGTAAGGTCCTGAATCTTCAAGGATAACATTTTTGCACTTCCCTCCTCAGTGTTTGCTTCAGTTCATGTACAGACCATAATAAATGTCGTAGAAGAGTCAAGCCTTTTTCTGCCTCCATGTTTGTAAAGTCTTGAGGGACATGAATCGCAATACATCACAGAATCGAATCGCAATACTCGCTCTATTGCAAAAATGTTGAGAATCGCAACAATACTGAACGGTATCCCGACTATTGCAATACTTTCGAGCCATCATATATTTGCCAATTCAAAGCTCTAATATTCAGTAATTGATGCTAGCTCCAAGTCTCCCTGATCGTCACCGACTCACCTGAAGAAGATGAAGGCGTTTTGAAAGAACACCGCCAGTCCTGGGGCCACCTCCTTCTCTGAGAACACACAGACAAAGTGTTGATCTTTGATGGCATTGCTCGGGTGCTAGCTCCTTGACTGCTTCAGTTAGCTTACTTGGAACAACATAAGCCCCGAACAGGATCCAGATGGAGGCGATGAGGGAGCCGAACATCATCATGAAGCCCAAGAACAGCCACAGCCGGGCCCCTGCGCGCACACACACACCCAGGTCCTTCTTAAAAGATATAAATGAGGATTTTCCCATATTTTAGAAAAGATGTGCCCTCTCCACTGAAAAAATCTCTTGTTTGACGAGCACGTATCACCAGAATGATTGACACAAGGCGTTTGCTCTTTTTCCAAAATAAAACTACAAACTTTTTAAAAGCTGATATTTCTTTCCCAAGACCTGAAAACCGAAAAGACCATATATAAAAACACGCAACGACTCATTTCTGTTGATCACTAGGCTAGCTATGTGTCAATAGAGCTCAGCAGTGACATCACGAGAATGTACCAGACCAGGCTAAGCAAGCGTTGATTGGATATCGTTCCATTAGGCTAATACAGTATGTAACCAGTCAAAAATAAAATTATAGTTTTTTTTTAGCCTACCTTCCCATTTCTCATTTCACAAAGCCTTTGAGCATACTGTGAAATTCTACCATCATTTTTTCTTCCATACTTTCACACAAAATTTGAGGTCTGGAAAACGGTGCTTCAAAATTCCATATTAAAAGACTTTCAAAACTTGCGCAAGCTCCCTGTTGACCAATAGGACGACAAATAGTCTTGATGATCCACGCAAAAGTAAAAAAATCTCCTATATTCCTTTAAGTTTGCATCAGGAAAATGGGACATTGAGTGAAAAAAGACCTTTCATCTCTTTTACCTCATCTTGTCTTGTGATCATTTACAGTTGTTTTACTCACATTGTTGTGTATCTGATGTTTCTGCTCAAACTGCTGTCAATGACCAGAGTCCATACATTCATCAACATTTATGGACCAATGGCTCTGAGTTTTTTTATCATTGCATTTCCTGTGTTTGAACTGTTTGATTCTCTGATCTGTGTTTGTGAATCAACAGTTTTGTCAAGTCCTTCGACATAACTACTGTTGTGACTTAGAGCTGTGCACAAATAAATTGAATTGTCAAGTCTTTTTCCACTAACTGTAATCTTTGACACATTTGGGCCAAAATATAAAATATGCAAATACTGTCGACAGCACATTGTAAGTTACTTAGACCTGAACCTGGTCTCAATATGGATTTGTAGAGTACTGTTTCTAAGTCAGGGCATTAAATCCAACCCCCCCGACCCAGAAATGGATTAAGGGGAAGAAAACTGATGGATGTATGAATCAGTACTGACCTGTGCGTCCCAGACAGCCCTCTCCGTACGTATCTCCTCTCACCTGACCGTTCGACACAGCGTTGATCCTGCATCACAACACAAGACCAGTTTTATGATAGACGGACCTAATAAAACCAGGAATGTCTGGCTGACATCTTTCTCTTTACATTCTTCGGCCTGGCATAGTTCAATAGTATAATGTCAAATATACTCTTCTCATCAAAATGACTCGAATTCAGGAAATTCTGCTGAAAGTTTTTGGACAGATGGATTTGCGCATTTCACAAGTTTGAAGGTCCCTGTGCTACCGTCGGGTCAAAATGACCTGCCACAGATGATTAAAAGTGTCTGTGGCAGATCTGAAATGGTCAGAGATAAAAAATCCTCAACATTCAGCCTTTAATCACTATGGCAGGGTCACTTTGACCCGAGGATAGCACAAAGGCTAAGACTTTTGTGGATATTATAGTTAGATCTTGAAATGTATTGAAGCCAGGAAATAATGTCGTTTTTACAAATAGATAAGGATCAGGAAATATTGTTTTGTAGTGAATAATATAATACAGGGTCGGGCTCTCTCAGGGTCGGGCTCTCTCAGGGTCGGGCTCTGTCAGGGTCGGGCTCTCTCAGGGTCGGGCTCTCTCAGGGTCGGGCTCTGTCAGGGTCGGGCTCTGTCAGGGTCGGGCTCCCTCAGGGTCGGGCTCTCTCAGGGGTCTGGGCTCTGTCAGGGTCGGGCTCTGGTCAGGGTCGGGCTCTCTCAGGGTCGGGCTCTCTCAGGGTCGGGCTCTCTCAGGGTCGGGCTCTTCAGGGTCGGGCTCTTCAGGGTCGGGCTCTCTCAGGTCGGCTCTGTCAGGGTCGGGCTCTTTCAGGGTCGGGCTCTGTCAGGGTCGGGCTCTCTCAGGGTCGGGCTCTCTCAGGGTCGGGCTCTCAGGGTCGGGCTCTCTCAGGGTCGGGCTCTCAGGTCAGGGTCGGGCTCTCTCAGGGTCGGGCTCTCTCAGGGTCGGGCTCTCTCAGGGTCGGGCTCTCTCAGGGTCGGGCTCTCTCAGGGTCGGGCTCTCTGAGGGTCGGGCTCTCTGTCAGGGGGCTCTCTCAGGGTCGGGCTCTCTCAGGGTCGGGCTCTTCAGGGTCGGGCTCTTCAGGGTCGGGCTCTCTCAGGGTCGGGCTCTCTCAGGGTCGGGCTCTGTCAGGGTCGGGCTCTCTCAGGGTCGGGCTCTGCAGGGTCGGGCTCTGTCAGGGTCGGGCTCTTCAGGGTCGGGCTCTCTCAGGGTCGGGCTCTGTCAGGGTCGGGCTCTTCAGGGTCGGGCTCTCGTCAGGGTCGGGCTCTCTCAGGGTCGGGCTCTCTCAGGGTCGGGCTCTGTCAGGGTCGGGCTCTGTCAGGTCGGGCTCTCAGGGTCCAGGGTCGGGCTCCATCAGGGTCGGGCTCTCTCAGGGTCGGGCTCTCTCAGGGTCGGGCTCTGTCAGGGTCGGGCTCTGTCAGGTCGGGCTCTCAGGGTCGGCTCTTCAGGGTCGGGCTCTCAGGGTCGGGCTCTCTCAGGGTCGGGCTCTCTCAGGGTCGGGCTCTCTCAGGGTCGGGCTCTCTCAGGGTCGGGCTCTCTCAGGGTCGGGCTCTCTCAGGGTCGGGCTCTCTCAGGGTCGGGCTCTTCAGGTCGGGCTCTGTCAGGGTCGGGCTCTCTCAGGGTCGGCTCTAGGTCGGGCTCTGTCAGGGTCGGGCTCTGTCAGGGTCGGGCTCTCTCAGGGTCGGGCTCTCTCAGGGTCGGGCTCTGTCAGGGTCGGGCTCTGTCAGGGTCGGGCTCTCTCAGGGTCGGGCTCTCTCAGGGTCGGGCTCTCTCAGGGTCGGGCTCTCTCAGGGTCGGGCTCTCTCAGGGTCGGGCTCTGTCAGGGTCGGGCTCTGTCAGGGTCTTCAGGGTCGGCTCTCTCAGGGTCGGGCTCTCTCAGGGTCGGGCTCTCTCAGGGTCGGCTCTCTCAGGGTCGGGCTCTTCAGGGTCGGGCTCTCTCAGGTCGCTCAGGGTCGGGCTCTTCAGGGTCGGGCTCTCTCAGGGTCGGGCTCTCTCAGGGTCGGGCTCTCTCAGGGTCGGGCTCTCTCAGGGTCGGGCTCTCTCAGGGTCGGGCTCTTCAGGGTCGGGCTCTGTCAGGGTCGGGGCTCTCAGGGTCGGGCTCTCTCAGGGTCGGCTCTCTCAGGGTCGGGCTCTCTCAGGGTCGGGCTCTCTCAGGGTCGGGCTCTTCTCAGGGTCGGGCTCTTCAGGGTCGGGCTCTCTCAGGGTCGGGCTCTCTCAGGGTCGGGCTCTCTCAGGGTCGGGCTCTCTCAGGGTCGGGCTCTCAGGGTCGGGCTCTCTCGGGGCTCTTCAGGGTGGGCTCTAGGGGCTCTCAGGGTCGGGCTCTCTCAGGGTCAGGGTCGGGCTCTCTCAGGGTCGGGTCTCTCTTCAGGGTCGGGCTCTCTCAGGGTCGGGCTCTCTCAGGGTCGGGCTCTCTCAGGTCGGGTCGGGTCGGGCTCTCTCAGGGTCGGGCTCTCTCAGGGTCGGGCTCTGTCAGGGTCGGGCTCTCTCAGGGTCGGGCTCTCTCAGGGTCGGGCTCTCTCAGGGTCGGGCTCTCTCAGGGTCGGGCTCTCTCAGGGTCGGGCTCTCTCAGGGTCGGGCTCTGTCAGGGTCGGGCTCTGTCAGGGTCGGGCTCTCTCAGGGTCGGGCTCTCTCAGGGTCGGGCTCTCTCAGGGTCGGGCTCTCTCAGGGTCGGGCTCTCGTCAGGGTCGGGCTCTCTCAGGGTCGGGCTCTCTCAGGGTCGGGCTCTCTCAGGGTCGGGCTCTCTCAGGGTCGGGCTCTCTCAGGGTCGGGCTCTCTCTCAGGGCGGGCTCTCTCAGGGTCGGGCTCTGTCAGGTCGGGCTCACATGAAGAAGGCGATGGTGGAGAAGACGCCGCAGGTGTGGAAGGCGTGGTTCATCTGCTCCTGGCTCGGGTATGTGACCGCGGCATCGATCATGATCCACCAGCCGCTGAAGAACTGACACACAACAGGGGGAAGGGCTGATGTCACACACATACAACATATTCCAAAAACAATACAAATGATTTGTACCTCTAATGGAGTTCACAAATATTCATGGAGTGAAAAGTAAAAATAATAATCGTTTTTTATAAAATGATTTTCAGGACATTCAAAGAAACATCATTCATTCACTCCAATGTGTGAGTGAGTGTGTTACTGAGCTTGGACTTTATAATGCAAGTAATAGGAGCCAGTGCGAGTTGGAGAGAAAACTTTGTCCATGAGCACTTCCCTTTGGGCTTCATTAAGCTTGAGGGTTAATCTAAAGACAGTTTATGTTGGAACCATGTCTGCAACAGGACTTACCAGGACTCCCGCTCCGATAGAGGCCAGAGTGTTCCTCCTCTCCCCCCAGTCCATGCACTCACACTCAGGCCAGCGGAAGTTATCCAGGAAGCCCGCCATCTCCAGCAGCGCCCGGTCAGCCTCTGTTCACGTCCCTGCACACACGTTACATCCAGTGTTGGGGAAGTTGCTTCTTAAAAGTAACTTAATGCATTACTCTACAAAACACTGGTTACATCTGAGATCAGTTAAAAGGACATGGACTTCATAAAAGCCAGGGACTTGCACCCACAGACATGGACATGAGCGAGCAGCATTGTCAGCATTCTAGGACAAAATATAAAAAAAAAACACCCCTGGTATTTAGTGGATTTGGATTTAGTGCATTTTTAAAAGTGTGCCTTGTACTACAGATCATTAAAAAACATATTTAAAAGGTTGTATCTTCAATTGAGAACATTTTTAATTACAAAAATGCAATGTCAAGTAATTAAGCAGTACTAGAGTTTTTACATTTCATTAAAAAAAACTTCTAAGCACGAAACATGAGAAGACATTATGAACTTTACATTCATCCTTTACCTCTACATGGATAATCTTTTGGTCGCAGCAATTTTCTGATAGAAATGTTAAAGGTATATAGGAGCCAGACCTGATCCTGAGGTCTAAACCAGAGCCAGATCAGATCCTGAGGTCTAAAACAGAGCCAGATCTGATCCTGAGGTCTAAAACAGAGCCAGATCTGATCCTGAGGTCTAAAACAGAGCCAGATCTGATCCTGAGGTTTAAACCAGAGCCAGCCCAGATCTGATCCTGAGGTCTAAACCAGAGCCAGATCTGATCCTGAGGTCTTAACCAGACCTAAACCATATTGTTATGCCTTAATGCGTTCAGAGGCAGTGAGTTGAATGGGTTAAAAGTATCGCCAGTATAACTATAGAGTGTGTTAGGTTAGCAACGCTTCTATTGTGTTCAAATGTACAGTTAATATTTTCCACGAGACTATTATTATTATTGTATAACCTCGATCCAACAGCAGAAGCTAAGATGCTAACAGTTAGCGTCGAACCAGACACGGAGCTGCTTCCTGACCACCCTGCGGTCCGGTCAGAGGTCCGGTCAGAGGTCCGGTCAGTCCCCTATGACCGCCGCAGACTGGGACAGTACCTGAGAAGCGGCCTGGAGGGGTCTGTGGTCAGATTTGTGCTGTTTCTGACGTGAGGTTTGCTTTCGGTTTGTATGAAGCGCTTCCGTCCTCTCTGTGTGTTAGTCCGCGTGCATGGCGCCATCTAGCGGCCAGAAGGCTCTTAGCATCGGTCTATTAAATAATAAATACACTATTTAGAAAAGGGCTCTAAATCAGCATCCCAGGCGAGGAATGGAAAAAAAATCAAACGTAAAGACAGATAAAAACAGTGGCAAAAAAACACACTATTTACAGCAACAACAAACAAATAAATAAAAAGCCAATGAGAACAAGTGAGTTTTAAGACGAGACTAAAAACAGAAAATGAATCAGACAGTCTAACTGTAACTAATTTATATCATTTTATCAACATTTATAGACATCTTTATTCAGCCCCTGGACGATGCGTTTTTTTTAGATGTTTGATTCTCTGATCTGTGTTGGCGAATCGACAACTTTGAAAAGTCCTTTGAGATAGCCACTATTTTGATATAGGGCTTTTCAAACACATTTAAATTGATTTGGATTTTTTTTTTTTATTACACGAAAAATAATTACTTTTGCCTCAATCATATGGAGTTGAATTATTTTTGTTATATACATACCATAGACTGTAAATATCATTATAATTTATTACACATACACACGCCAGGAACAACCTCAGAAATCTCGGTCCAGGTAGGTATCGGTATCGACCAGGAAGCTTGAGAGTCTTTGCTGTTCCTTATCTTCATGATCTATTATAATATCTTACCTAACCCTTTTTTATTGTGTTGTGGGCGTGGTAGTCTGTTGTGGGCGGAGTCAATGTTGTTTTTCAGGAAGCAGCTCCAGTTCCTCTGATCCGACGACCGACTCGTCTCATAATCCATATTTCCCTCACGAAATATTCCCTGAAGTCCTGGTGCAGAGGCAAAGATGGTGTGACTGATCATTAACGGTGAGTCCTCTGGTCTCTCGCTCTGATCTCTCGCTTTGATCTCTCCCTCTCTGGTCTCTCTCTGGTCTTTCTCAGGTCTCTCTCTCTGGTCTCTCTCTCTCTCTCTCTCTCTCTGATCTCTCTCTCTCTCTGGTCTCTCTCTCTCTCTGATCTCTCTCTCTCTCTGATCTCTCGCTCACTGGTCTCTCTCTCTCGGGTCTCTCTCTCACTGGTCTCTCTCTCACTGGTCTCTCTCTCACTCTGGTCTCTCTCTCTCTCGTCTCTCTCCCTCTTTGGTCTCTCTCTCTCGTCTCTCTCCCTCTTTGGTCTCTCTCTCTCTCAGGTCTCTCTCTCAGGTCTCTCTCTCTGGTCTCTCTCTCTCTCTCTCTCTCTGATCTCTCTCTCTCTCTGATCTCTCTCTCTCTCTGGTCTCTCTCTCACTGGTCTCTCTCTCTCTCGTCTCTCTCCCTCTTTGGTCTCTCTCTCTCTCGTCTCTCTCCCTCTTTGGTCTCTCTCTCTCTCTCTCTGGTCTCTCTCTCTCTGGTCTCTCTCTCTCTCGTCTCTCTCCCTCTCTCTGTGTCATAATATTATTCCACAACAGTGATACTGATGTGACCATAGTTCTGCTGCTGTCTGCTGTGAAGAACAAGTGTTTTAAGAACCTCAGAGGTAAAGCCAGTGTTTGTTGCAGCCTGCAGGTATGTGGCCCAGAAGATCCGTGCCTCCTTCAGGGACCAGCCGGAGAACGTGAGCGGCCCCTCCTGACAGCAGGCAAAAGGTCAGTCACTGGTCCAAACCGGTTCAAACTCATGACACTATGACGTCACGGACAAACCTGTTTTCAACCTTTTGAAACGGAAGCATTGCCTTAAAATTATATTTAGATTATTGGTCCTGTGCCTTCAGATTACAGCAAGTTACATTTTTAGATAGATACTTTATTGATTCCCGTTGGAGAAATTCATTTCTCCAGTAGCAGCAGAAACACATCCATCCATACAGACAAACAAATAAATACATAATTATAAAAGTAGATAACAATACTATACTAGAAACTTGCAATGGCTGAAGCCATTGCGATTGACTGCGGAACAGATCTAATGTGGAAATCTGCTAAAAAAAATCCTTGAAATCCTTTAAAAGGCCTTGAAACTGTTAAAATACTTGATAGATATTTGAAACTCCTGAAGTCCTTGAAATTGTTGAAACCTTTAAACTCCTGAAATCCTTGAAACTCCTGAAATCCTTGAAACTGTTGAAACATTGAAACTCCTGAAATCCTTGAAACTTTTTTTAAACCTGGAAACTGTTGAAAGTGTGGAAACTCCTGAAATCCTTGAACCTCCTGATATCCTTGAAACTGGTTAAATTCTTAAACAGTTGAAATCCTTGAAACTACTGAATGTATTGAAAGTGTCCTTGAAACTGAAAAATCCCCTCACCGCTGAAACAATTTGGTTCCTGTAACTAAGGAAACCTGGTCTGTGGTCATTATCTGGTGGTGGTCTGAGTCTTCGTTTGGGTCTTGGTCTGGTGGTATAATGCAACCTATTAGGTTGCATTATACTGGTTTACATGGAAAAATCCCTATTAGGTTGCATTATACTGGTTTACATGGAAAAATCCCTATTAGGTTGCATTATACTGGTTTACATGGAAAAATCCCTATTAAGTTGCATTATACTGGTTTACATGGAAAAATCTCTATTAAGTTGCATTATACTGGTTTACATGGAAAAATCCCTATTAAGTTCCATTATACTGGTTTACATGTAAAAACCCTATTAAGTTGCATTATACTGGTTTACATGGAAAAATCCCTATTAAGTTGCATAATACTGGTTTACATGGAAAAATCCCCATTAAGTTGCATTATACTGGTTTACATGAAAAAAACCCTATTAAGTTGCATTATACTGGTTTACAAGGAAAAATCCCTATTAAGTTGCATTATACTGGTTTACATGGAAAAATCCCTATTAAGTTGCATAATACTGGTTTACATGGAAAAATCCCCATTAAGTTGCATTATACTGGTTTACATGTAAAAAACCCTATTAAGTTGCATTATACTGGTTTACATGGAAAAATCCCTATTAAGTTGCATTGTACTGGTTTACATGGAAAAAACCCTATTAAGTTGCATTATACTGGTTTACATGGAAAAAACCCTATTAAGTTGCATTATACTGGTTTACATGGAAAAAACCCTATTAAGTTGCATTATACTGGTTTACATGTAAAAACCCCTATTAAGTTGCATTATACTGGTTTACATGGAAAAATCCCCATTAAGTTGCATTATACTGGTTTACATGAAAAAAAACCCTATTAAGTTGCATTATACTGGTTTACATGAAAAAACCCTATTAAGTTGCATTATACTGGTTTACATGGAAAAATCCCTATTAAGTTGCATAATACTGGTTTACATGGAAAAATCCCCATTAAGTTGCATTATACTGGTTTACATGTAAAAAACCCTATTAAGTTGCATTATACTGGTTTACATGGAAAAATCCCTATTAAGTTGCATTGTACTGGTTTACATGGAAAAAACCCTATTAAGTTGCATTATACTGGTTTACATGGAAAAAACCCTATTAAGTTGCATTATACTGGTTTACATGGAAAAAACCCTATTAAGTTGCATTATACTGGTTTACATGTAAAAACCCCTATTAAGTTGCATTATACTGGTTTACATGGAAAAATCCCCATTAAGTTGCATTATACTGGTTTACATGAAAAAAAACCCTATTAAGTTGCATTATACTGGTTTACATGAAAAAACCCTATTAAGTTGCATTATACTGGTTTACATGGAAAAATCCCTATTAAGTTGCATTATACTGGTTTACATGGAAAAATCCCTATTAGGTTGCATGATTACACTGAAGTCCTTGAAACTGCTGAAGTCCTTGAAACTGCTGAAGTCCTTGAAACTGCTGAAGTCCTTGAAACTGTTGAAGTCCTTGAAACTGTTGAAGTCCTTGAAACTCTTGAAATCTTGAAACTGCTGAAATCCTTGAAACTGTTGAATCCTTGAAACTGTTGAATCATTGAAACTGTAGAAATGTCTGAAAGAGCTGAAGTCCTATTAAAATGCATGGGCCTATTAAAATGCATTGCAGAATTCTCAATGCAGATTTTTGTCCGATTGCGGAAAAACCGGAAATCGCTGAAGTCCCAAAAGTAATAGCAATAATCTCCCAAACATGTGGAACGTTTTGATGTATAACTTGTGGAAATTGTTGAAAATGTGAAAGCTGTGAAACGTGTCAAAAAAAATGACGGAATAAAGAAATACAAAACCAATGGTTGACTGCGGAAGGTTCCGCAGTCAATCAATAATGCAACTGCACTTACGGTCCCAGCAGCAGAGGGGGAGGAGCCGCTTGGTTCAGACCATTTTCTCTGCTCTGGTCTGGATCAGTGTAAAACCATGAACACTGTTTTGCAGTAACATTTACAGCTAGAAAAAAATAAAAAATAAAACTAAGAGCGACATAGAACTTGCTGCAGTTTCTAGCGCATTCATTTATTTATTTTTATTTTCACATCAGGCGACAGTAGCTCAGTTGGTAGAGCATTAGCCTTAAGGCCTGAAGGTCGTGGGTTCAATTCCCATCTCTACACCTTCACCGACTCCCACTGATGACTGCTGTCGTTGTGTCCTTGGGCAAGACACTTAACCCCACTTTGCCCAAAGCCCCCACTGAAAGATCAAGGCTATGCTCACACTCAGAGAGCAGCCGTCCTCCTGTGGACTCACCACCTGCAGAGGGTCAGTGAGGGGCTGGTGCTATGAGACTTGGGTGGCATCTCTGACTGCCACCCCCCTGACCCAGAAATGGATTAAAGGGTAGAAAACGGATGGATGGATATTTTCACATCACCAATACATTACATTATGTGTACATCTTGAAAAATGGACTCCCTGCATAAACATAAAGAGTAGGATGGCAAGAACAGCGGAAGTTTCGTTTGAGTTTTATCATAGTAAAAACATACAAAATAAAATATATTACAGAATCACATGCATTAATGAGTGTAATGTCCACTGTACGACTCTAGGGGGCGTTTCCTGAGTCCTGTTTGAACCAAGAGAATGTGCTTTGCTTCCAGGAGAGAAGAGGAGCATGATGGGCCCTGAGCCTGTAGTCCGATCCCAGAGCAGCAGCTCGGAGCGGGCCGTGGTACCCTCCCCCTCCCCCTGACGGTAGAAGACCCCGCCCTGGTTCATGTGTTGGATTTGTGCTGAAGCAGAGAGAATGAAGGGCTGTTCCTCAGGCCCTCGGGACCGGAGCAGCTCAGAGATAACCACTCTGCTAATCTGTGGCAAATAAAATCCCAGTATAAGAGAAAGTGTGCGTTTGTGTTTATAAATAAGCAGTATTTCAAATAGCTTATAGTTGTGTAGATCCTGAAGCTCAGAGAATATGGGATTGCGTTTGGGCTTGAAGCTAAACTGGGCAGAGCCTGGTTAGTACTGTGATGGGAGACCTCTGGGAACACCATGCGGCATAATGGGGCATCTGTATATTGCCAAAACTGTTGTCCTTTGGCAAGACACGGTAACTCACATTGCCCAGTACAGCTCTGGTGTGTTCGTGGCGGGTTGCCACGCTCCTTTCAGTGTGCCGCAGGGCGGTTGTGGCTACAGTAGTAGTTTATCACCAATGTCAATGGAGTGAAAGAGTAGTGCCATGTCTAGTGCTGAATAAAAATGATTTGTTTATAAACTTAGTGTTTCCCATGAGAACATCTTCAGAGATGACTTGTTACACATTGTTTTTTTTTAATACATTTAGTTCATTCTGCAGTTATAGAACCACGGAGTCCTAAATCCTTGCCTCAGCGTAAGTCTAATGAAGGGTCAAATAATGATTCATCAATTACTAAATGATTTGACCACATTTAAATAGTCAAGTTTCGATAAATAAACTTGTTACATGGTTCCGCCCGGATTGGTCGAGACCCTCTTTGCGGCCAGTTGTTCCTTGTGTTACAGGTGTTTAATACTGACCAATGGAAACAGTGCATTTAGCAGGTTTGGTACGACCCTCACCTCCATCAGAACATGGTATATCCAGGCTACGGTCTGGACCAGAACCTCGTAAGATTCTTCTCTGCAGTTGGACTCATGGGCACTTATACAACTGTCACTTGTTAAATGTCTATTGCGTGCACTTGTATAAACTAGTCATTTAAAAAGAATAAGTTTATGCATACCATATTTTTTTTTCTTCATTCTTTTGTTTGCACCATGAGCCAAAGCAAATTCCTATTTTGTGAGCGCCTGTTGCTTACAGCAGCAATACAATGATTTTGATCTTGACATGACTCGGCCGTGAAACCCTGACAGATGTTTGTTAGCCTCGCGTGACCCGAGTTCAACAGAATCGTGTCATTGTTTATCGTCTTAACCCTCGTGCTTTCCTCGGGTCATTCTCCAGTGATTAGAAAATACACAATGATTTTTATAGTTGAGTTTTAATGATTTTAATCATCTGTGGAAGGTCATTTTGACCTGAGGGTAGAAACATAAAAGTTTAAATTTATTAAGACTAGAGTAATGTAACTAAGTACCTGAGTACAAGTATCCCCATGTGTATTAGACAAAAGGACAGGTTTCTCACTGATCACAGTTACACACATTTTAAAAAGTTATAACAACTTTAATAAACTCAAAACATTAGTCTGTAAAAGACGACATAACATAATCAAATGGTTCATTATCATTCAGAAGAAGTCGGCCGCTGTGGGTCGCTGGCGCACAATGCTCTTCTTCTTCTTGAGTTTGGGGAAGGGGGTGGGTGGGGACTTGAGCACTCCACACTTAGGCTTCTGGTCAGGGTCAAAGGGCACTCGAGACGGGCCCTCTGGGCTCAGCAGCAGGCTGCGGTCAGTCCTGCGGAACTCTGCGCACACACACGCAGGTTAGTGAGTGCTGCAGTGGAAAGCACGTGTATGCACACTTGTGTGTGTGCACACTTGTGTGTGTGCACACTTGTGTGTGTGCACACTTGTGTGTGTGCACACTTGTGTGTGTGCACACTTGTGTGTGTGTACACTTGTGTGTGTGTACACTTGTGTGTGTACACTTGTGTGTGTACACTTGTGTGTGTACACTTGTGTGTGTACACTTGTGTGTGTACACTTGTGTGTGCGTGTCTCACCTGCTGTTCTATTGTTCTTCAGGCCAAAGCGGACCTTCTTGGAGTCGGTCTTGGGAGTGGCGCTGTTCTGAAAACACAGGTGCTTATGTTAAAAACTGGTTTGTATGTTCTTTCTGCAGCTGAAGTACCACAGAGACGAAACAGCCAATGCATTTTCCACAGAATACTTCACTTTGAGAGGGGCAAGAACTCTCTCTGTGGCCCGGGACCACCTGGCCTTGACCATCTCTGGTCAAGTTAAGAAAAATATTTTTTTTTTCTCACTGGAGCGGCACAACGAGGATAGCACAAGGGCTCAATAAACAATAATGACCATTACATTCTTATTAACCATTTCTTGTTTGCAACATCAACCAAAGCACATTCCTTGATTGTGACTTCCTGGTGTCAGGGTTGACACCCAGAGTCACTTGTTCAAGCTAAATAGAAGCATTTCTTGCTTTGGCGTTTGTTTAGTGTCAGCATCAGAGGGACATCCATCACCTTTTGTCAAAATGTTTGACTAAATTCACCTAATGTATCCAATAAGTAACAACAGAATCACAGAGTACAAAGAAAACTGCTCAATATAAGCCAGTAGATGCTCTCGTTACAACAAGGCCCCATCAGGGTGATGTCACAGGACGACACACGATACATCTGCTCCATGCTCCATACCAGCACCAGCAGCGCTCAAACCACTCACAAGAGGATCTTAGTGATATCACAGCCAGTTATGGGCTGTGGAGGGAGGCCAACTCCACTGCACCAGTCCCAGAGTGACAGAGTGAGCCAGACATAGTAATAGACCTGAACGTTTAGACGAAGTGAGAACTGCTCCATAATGGTCAAAGCCAAGAACACAACATGAAAAAGAGTTGTACAGTGGAGTCAGGGCCAGTCAAAGTACCGTTTTGGGGCACAAGGTCCTGCAGAATAGGGGTGCAGGAGGGGGGCTGCCGCTCTGGAAGCTCACAAACTCTGGTCGAACTCTAGGGTTCCTCCGGAGCTTCTGAGGCCTGGAGCTTAGGGGGGTGTGAGGGGAGTCCAAGGGCTGGACACACAACAGAAGGGGAAACAAGACATGTGATCCGAGCATGTAAGGAGAGCTCTGGAGAGGAGGAGACAGCTACTCCTGGGGCCAAATAATGGGTGAAGTGCACCCTCTACTTCACCCATGGTGAAACTGATGTAGTCCCCCCTGACATCCTCAGGTTAAATTGACCCGCCAAAGTGATTAATTTTTTTTAGATCATTTAGACCCTTTTAGAGACCAATTTAGGGCATTATTCTTCTACTTTTAATCATCTGTTGTCGGTAATTTTAACAAGCAAAAGGGTCTTTGGCAATTCATGTTTTAGAATCTATCAAAACAGTGTCTCTTCTCACACTGTGTGTCATTGTTATTGCCCCTTGGGAATATTGAAGGAACAGAAACACTAATGAACCTAATTGGTATCCTGGCCAGCCGAACGCTGCCCTCTTCACAAACAGAACGAGGGATTTCTCAGACAAAACGGCATCAGGTTAAACTAAAACCATACAAACATTTAGATTGTCATTCTTAATGAGGAAAACATGTAATGACAGAGCAGGGAGGAACTGAAACGTCTCCCTAAGGAAACGATCAAAATGAATGGATTTTTCAAAAAATGTAGGCCTCATACTTTAAAAACCAACAGATTTGTCTACTGAGAAACTGTCATAAAATGGCGACAGATTAGCACCAATGCTTCTCTTCCAAGGCGTGGCCTTACACCAAAACTGACGCCAAGAGTTCAGCACAGAATACTCCGATAAACAATTCCTATATTCATATTCCTATAATAGGATCGTTTTAACCTGTGATTTTACCGCACACTTTGACAATCCATAAAGACGATTTTACACGGTTTTATTAAACAGGAGATCTCTGAAAACATCTAACCCCTGAAGTGGCAGAACATTCTAAACAATACTCTTCATTTGGTTTTACAACCAATGATTTACAGTAGATTCCCTTTGTTGGATCAGAAGACTCTTTTCAAAAATAAAATCCATTGAAACTAAATCCGTACCCCCATGGAGAAATGAGGTACAAAGAATGAAAAGAGTGCAGGGTGGCAACACGAAGGTGGAGAAAAAAATGAAACGACAAACAACTATAAAATATATAACAACCAAAAAAAACACACACCGTCATCACCACAGTGGGAAAAAATAGGAACAACTACTTTGTAAAATGAATCATCTGAAACAAAAATAACCCTAAAGCTCTATTCTCAACCAGTCTCCTTTAACCCCCACAGACTCCTCTTCATGGGGAAGACAAATACAATCAGATTTTATCCAACCGCACTACTGTTTTTAACACATCTGATTGTTTGTCTTCACCAGAGGGGACAGTTTTGTCCTGGTTGATGCTCAGATGTTTGATAAAGTTTTCTCCTCAGTGAGGCCCACCACATGTCTTTTAGATCCAGTCCCCACTCCATTTTTTAAGTAATCTGAAATGCTTTTTTCAGACTGAGGTCTTCCCTGCCGCCGTTAAAGCGGCTGTGGTGAAACCCTTTCTGAAGAATAGAAATTTAGATTTTTAACGATTTTAACTACAGACCAGCATCTATTACAATTTTAAGAAACATTTCACATTACATTTTGACACAACACAGTAGACCAAACTTTTCTTTTATCCCACATGAAACACCTTGGCCTCTCTGGTGCTGTCCACAAATGGTTCACTTCTTATTTAACAGACAGATCCTTCATGGTAAGTTTGGATACCTGCTCCTCTCAGGTCCATAAAATCACATGTGGTGTGCCCCAGGGTTCCATTTTAGGTCCAGTCCTTTTTAACCTGTACATGCTCCCTCTTGGCGGTGTCATCAGGAGACATGGAATTAACTTCCACAGTTATGCAGATGACACACAGCTGTACATCTCCATGTCTCCTGACGACACCAGGCCAATGGATGCTCTTTTTAACTGCATTTTAGACCTGAAATCCTGGATGGCAGAAAACTTTCTCCAGCTTAACCAGGACAAAACTGAGGTTTTAGTCATCGGTCCCTAGGCCCAGAGAGAGAAACTTTTATCAAAACTCCAATCACACTCTTTTAATCCATCATCACAAGTGAGAAACCTGGGTGTAATTTTGACTCTGAGTTAACTTTAATTCTTCACATTAAGAACATCACAAAGATAGGTTTTTATCATTTAAAGAACGCCAGAGTCCCCCTTTTCTGTCTCCCACACAAAAAGAACATTGCATTTTTACAATTACTCCAAAACTTGGCAGCACGTGTCCTGATTAAGACCAGGGGGCGGGACCACATTACACCAGTTTTGAAATCACTGGTGTAGTGTTTTTCAGGATTGATTTTAAGATTCCATCGATATTTAAAGGTCTCGATGGTCTTGGGCTTTATATTTCAAAACTTCTTTTACCCCATGAACCCCCTAAAAACAACCCCTGGTCTGTTACATGGTTAAAAGCAGCAGAACTCACTGTGGTGTCCTGGGCCTTGTCCTGGACCTGGGCCTCATCTGCCTCGTACTCAAACTCGACAGGGATCTTCTTCTTCCTCTTCTTTTCTCCTGTGTCCTGTTCTGCAGCGGACTGTGGCGCCCTCTTCAGGGCTGCTGTTCTCTTCTTCTTCCCCTTGGTGCTTGTAGCTGAAGCTGGGCTGATGGGAGGCTGTGATTGGTCCACTCCAGCGTCTGGGGAGGCCACAGCAGTGATGTGAGCCTGCAGCTCCTCAGCCTGTGCTTCTGGGCTCTTCACAACTATTACAAAACACACATTGGCTGTAAGTGTAAGGAACTCGCATCTGTCTAAACAGTTCTCATTTCTCACACACATAAAACGATCAAGTGAAATGAAACAATAGTGAACCTTGTTCAGAGATGGCTGCTCCTTTCTTTTTCCTCTTTTTGTTCTTCTTCTGTGCTGCTGGACTGCTGCTGGTGTCCACTTCCTCCACTGGGGGCTCTGCTGTCTCGCTCTAAAGTGGATTTGATAAGTTGGCGTTTATGTCAAAAAATTTAATAATCCCAAACAGAGCAATGTTTTCATTTGATATAACCTTAATTCACCCAGAATAAAACCCTTTGAGATTAGAAAGTTTTCCTCCATAGATCATATGGAGGAAAACTGCATCATTTAAAAATCACCCGACAGGACCCCACAAGGCCGACAGGACCCGACAGGACCCGACAGGACCAGACAGGACCAGACAGGACCACACAGGGCCGACAGGACCCGACAGGACCCGACAGGACCCCACAGGACCCCACAGGACCCCACAGGACCACACAGAACCCGACAGAACCCTGCCTAATTTGGATGATTCCACTCGAGTCCAGTCCGGGGTTGGATATATGCGGCTTCTAAGGGTAAATGTAACTCCTTGTCTTTTAACTCATTGACTGCCAGCCCATTTCAAAACAGGTACTCCCATATTGCCAGCCGTTTCTGGTGGTTTTTACTGATTTTTCAAGACCCACAGAATATTGTGTACTTTGACTATCTGAAATCTAAAACTAGATTCTGAAAGAATGGGCTGTCTACTCTCACCAGCAAAAAGAATTTTGTTTCTATCTTGTTTAGTTCTTCTGTAATCCCCAGTTGAGTAGAGGGAAGTTTTATTGAAATCACCAGAAAGCTGAGAAAAAAGGGCCACAAACAGTGCATCTAGCTGTGTTCAAACCATTCATAGCGCAATGCTGCCATCTGCTGGCTCCATAAATTATTGCCTCAAGCCAATCTCCACATATTAGATTCAATGGACAGCTGGGAACGTAAAAATAGCGGGAAACGCAATTGACGTGTTAACACGTCATTGGCAGACAACGTTACTATTTAGTTTGACGTGTTAACACGTCAATGGCAGTCAATGAGTTAAAAAGATGCGCGTTGGATTCCCTCTGAAACCAGGACCGCAGCAGAACAAACAGCAGAGGACGCAGCAGAACAAACAGCAGAGGAGTTTACTGATGTTTCTCTGATGAACATGAGACTAAAGCCGATCGTAAAAGAGCAGAGAATGATCCTCTTTTCCTTCACAGTACGGTGGTGCCACGGTTAGAGCTTGTGTTCCACAGCAAGAAGGTTCTGGGTTTGACTCCCGCTTCAGGTCTTTATGTGTGGTGTGTGCATGTTCTCCCCGTGTCTGCATAGGTTTCCTCCAGGTGCTCCGGTTTCCCCTACCACTAAAACATGTAAAATAGTCCTACAAATAGTGACTGTAGGACAACAAATGCAAATTAGCTCATGGCTACAATCGGAAAAGGTTAGTTAATATGCACTGTGCCAACCAAAAATATAAAACACTGCCCCAAATGTGCTCTCGGCCCCTGTCTCGGCCTCTCTCGCCTTAGGATTGCATGTGACTACACATGTTTAGGAGACTGCATGTCTGTCATGTATCCAGGAAACCAGTTTGAGATGGGAGTAATGGACAAATGGAGCCAAGGAACATGTTTGTCCTGATTTGCCAAAAGTTCATATTATTAGTGTGGATGGAACTAAAAACAACCTCGGGTGTTTTTGAAGAGGAACAATGTTGTAACAAAAAGCAGCAGAACTCACCATGGCGTTTTCTCCTGTGTCCTGTTCTGCAGCGGCCTGTGGCGCCCTCTTCAGGGCTGCTGTTCTCTTCTTCTTCCCCTTGGTGCTTGTAGCTGGGCTGATGGGAGGCTGTGATTGGTCCACTCCAGCATCTGGGGAGGCCACAGCAGTGATGTGAGCCTGCAGCTCCTCAGCCTGTGCTTCTGGGCTCTTCACAACTATTACAAAACACACATTGGCTGTAAGTGTAAGGAACTCGCATCTGTCTAAACAGTTCTCATTTCTCACACACATAAAACGATCAAGTGAAATGAAACAATAGTGAACCTTGTTCAGAGATGGCTGCTCCTTTCTTTTTTTTCTTTTTGTTCTTCTGTGCTGCTGGACTGCTGCTGGTGTCCACTTCCTCCACTGGGGGCGCTGTTGTCTCGCTCTAAAGTGGATTTGACAGGTTAGCATCCCTCTCACGTCAAACATTGGGTATGTGTGTGCGTACGTCCATATGTGTGTGTTGCTTGATGCAGAGTTAATTGCTGTGTTAAAGATGAAATGCTACTAATCAAAAGATTGTATATTTGAATTACTTTTGGGCAGGGTTAGGGTTAAGCAATTACTTTTTTAACCCTATGAACCCGTCTGCATCGGCGACGATGCATGCGCACATGTTTTACAAATGATCAATTTACTCGCGAACGGTAAAACGTAGCAACTTACTTTTTTCCCCTCTGTGAAGTACGCAGTCAAGGCTTTCCGAAACTTGATTTGTCCGTGCGATGCACGGAGGATAAACTACGTTTGTCTGAAAGTCCGTGTCCAAAGCGTGACCCGTGAGGTACAAACACACGGGGACTGCCAAAGATCGTCAGAGTGAGATGTCTCACTCCTCTGTGTGCACTTGTTCTCCCACAGTTGAAACTACAGCTGGGATTCCAATAACCGGCTGAAAAGTGTGCATTATTGATAAAGACGATAATACAGTAAAATTACATTATGTGTTTATGATGTATATAAATATATGTATTATATAAATAATTGACGTTTTTTTGTTTGTTTTTGTCTGTTTCTTTTTTACAGCTGTGCTACAGAAGCAACCCCAGCATTATAGACAAACTGCTTCAGGAAGGGCATCAGGAGTACAGAGTTTTTTGCTTTTATAGTGGAATTTTGTAAAACGTATAATAGTTAGAGATTCATTTTTTTCCCCATTATCCCCAAGACCATAAATAACATTTCTATGCAGTGTAAAAAGTTGTTTATAGCATTTCATTGTGTTTTTTCAATACATTGTTGTTAAATTGATTTTCCGTTTGATTTTTTTCCTTTGTCTTCATGATTCCATAATTTTTATATAATTCATATGACAGCTTTACAATATGAATATTCTCCAGGTTGTACTGAAAAAAACAAAGTATACTGCTTGACTCTGCATCAAAAGATGACTGTTTTATGAGCAATTATACACAAAGAAAACCAGGCGAGGAAGGTTCCCCAAAATGACCCATGTGCATAGAGGGTTAAATAATGTGACACACACTGGTTATTGGTGTGCAGCCCTCTAGAATAACTTCCTTCAGCATTGACATTAGACAGATGTCAAACTGTAACATGCGTCTTACTCACTTGAGGATCTGGAGGAGGAGCAGAGGCTTCTGGGTCGCTGGGTCCATTTTGCTCCAAGTTCAAAAGATTTGATTTCTTAGCCTTTTTAATTTTCTTCTTCTTTAACTGTGGTGGTGTATGGTTGTCCTGTGCGTGTGAGGCTGGTTCTGGCTCTGGTTCTGCCTGGACCTGTGATGGCTCTGAGGGTTCTGCCTGTACCGGTGACGGCTCTGAGGGTTCTGCCTGGACCAGTGACTGCTCTGAGGGTTCTGCCTGGACCGGTGACTGCTCTGAGGGTTCTGCCTGGACCGGTGACTGCTCTGAGGGTTCTGCCTGGACCGGTGACTGCTCTGAGGGTTCTGCCTGGACCGGTGACGGCTCTGAGGGTTCTGCCTGGACCTGTGACGGCTCTGTTGGACTTTGAGGCTTCTTTTTCTTTTTCTTCTTCTTTTTCTTCTTCGCCTGCTCGCTGTTGTCAGTGTTTGAGTCTGTGGTTGTCTTCTTACTCACTGAAACAACAGTGTGGTCATTCATGAACACCTTAATGACGGAGCAGAGACATCCCTCTCTTCACACACATGATTTAGCTTCAATAAAACTATCTGTGGTGGATACATGGGTATTGGAGATACATGTTAATGCCTGCAATATGCCATATACATACATAGATACATGTCCAGAATTAAAACGTTCTTTTCAGATCTAATGCATTACTTATTGCCACATCTTAAGTGACAAACTTCAGTCGAACCCTTTTGGTCTGAATTAGTTACATTTTAGATTCATAAATACTGTTGTTGACTAATGATGCAGCCCCAGCAACCATCAACTACTTTTGTCTGTATACGTATTTACAGCATGGAGAGTCCCAGATGTACCGGTTATTCTTATTCATATAAATGTCGTACCGTGCTTCAGTTCAGTGTGAACATCAAGGAATCGCTTTTGCTCACTTTAAATATATTTGAATACATGGTTATTTATGTGAACAACCTAAAGTGCTGATAAATGCGCAATCAGAACTCACAGCCTTACATTGTCAACTGACCAAATGAGAGTCAAGTTATTTTAATTGAATATACTTTATGTCAAGGGTTTATGGCTGTCTGACAGGATCTAGCTGTGACCTGCATGTATGGCCATTTTGATACTCTTAATTTCCCCAACCCTCAAGCCACAGATGATAAAAAGTAGAATAAAAATACCCTAAATTATAATCTAAATGGCTGGTCAAGTTATGAAAAGTAATCAAAATTGTTTTAATTGTAGCATATCAAGATTGTGTTGTGTGTCAGTGTTTTTCAGTCCGGGATGTACCTTTAGGCTTCTTCACCTTTGGTCCCTCCGCCTCCGCCTCCTCCTCTGTGGGCCTCCTCTTTAGCCTCTTCCTGCTGCCAAAGTCCTCGTCGTCCTCGTCTGTGGACACCTCCTCTGGGTACTCGTCCTGAGGGAAGCTGCCTGTCCCGGCGGAGCAGAGGGTACAAGTCAGGACTTCAGCTCATTTTGCAACAACAGTTTAGAGCAGCAGTTTCAGGGATACACAAAATGAGATTTTATGACGTGTGTTAAGACTTTTTTTACAGTCTAATATGAGGCTATACTCGTGTTTTGTCCTTTTTGTGTCATTTTGTCCTTTAATTTCATTCATGAAACGGCCGGTGAAGAAAGATATATGCCACAATGCATCTTGTGGCATCAGTAAACTCCAAGATAGCGGTGTGATGAGGGCACGCTTCAACAGAATTCAAGCAAACTGCAAAAATAGAAAAAACTCAAAAATAGGGGCTTAGTCTTTGGTGTCATAGCGCGAGGATCCATCATAGTCTACAACAGGGGTGTCCAAACTGGTCCAGAAAGGCTGCAGGTTTTCTATCAGACCCAACAGGAGCAGAGTAGACTCCACCCATTTCCTCAAATCTTCAGGTTAAGACCATAAACAGTATATATTAACGGACGTAGTCACGCCTATCTCCGCCGTTCTAACTAATGGGCCAAAAATTGGGCTTTCATGGAGTGATTCAAAATGGCCGCGGGGCTGGAAAATGTAAAAAAAAAAAACGCATCTGCGCATGCATCAGCTGCACAAGCCCCATTTATTTAAACGAGTGACTTCAAAAATTCACAGCGAGTAAACTAGACTGGTCCAAAGAAATTCAGTCCCCTCAGCATTGACACACATGTGGAACGGAGCTTTGGGCCAAGAGCCAACTTTTGGACCATCCTGTAAAGACATTTTTGAGAGGTAAGAAGATGCTATATTTTAGCATTGGCTAATTTGTTGCACACTTGAATAATCAAACTCAAGGTGGTGCAGTAGTTCTTCTTCCTCTTATTCCAGGTTCACCCCCATTGGCCCGGGGTGGTATTGCAAGCATGTCAGCGCATGTCATTTGGGCCACTTTTGAGCCGGGACCCGCCCCCACTGGTAAAGCCTGGGTCAGCACTAGATCATATACGGAATCGGGACAGAAGTGGAAGTAAATATAACGGACTACCTATAAATGCCTGAACTTAACCAGCCATTCCCATAAAATAACCCCAACCCAGCCTTAACCCTAACCTTAACCATCTTACTCAGACGCCTAAAACTTAACCAGTCGCCACTTAAGAACTTTTTAGTCTAAAACTAATTCAAAATTAGGATTGTTACTTCCGGTTTCGTCCCGATTCCGTATATGATTTAGTGCCGACCGTAAAGACTGAACACTCTTGAGGAAATGGGTGGAGTCTTCTCTGCTCCGGTCGGGTATGATAGAAAACCTGCAGCCACAGCGGCCCTTTCTGGACCGGTTTGGACACCCCTGGTCTACAAAGTGTGAAACTGGAGCGCTCAGACTAAAGAAGCAGAGAGACATAACGTAACTGTCCTACCTACTGTACTGAGCCAAAACAAAGCGCTGTCAGATGGATTTATTTCATTTGGATTACATCGCCTGTGTCGCTTGGGAGACCTGCGCTCTCCATAGTGTCTTTTACATGAAATTCAGTCTCTTCAGTGGGACCTACAATTTGTTTTGTTTAAAGTTGGATTGTATTGTTCATAAATTTGACCCAGGTATTTTCAGTTTTACTGCATATGAAAAGTGGCTCCTTATATCTCGATCATTGGTATTTACCTCGAATAAAACATTTTAGTCAATACATATTTTAATACATGAGAGGTCAGGGCTCACATGGAGCAGCATGGGTGTCAGAATGTGAGAGTGAAGTATCCAGGTGCTCTTTGGAGACTGTGGATTCTCCGACTGAGAGTGAAACCCCGTAGTTTGAACATAGTTTTACAATCTTGTAAAAAAGCACCAACGTGTTTAAGTTCCAAGCCTCCCAAGTGTTATACGTGTTATAAAGGCTCTGTCACTGTTTCAGCTCCTTGGAGCTATGGCACAATTGTATTTGCAGTAACTAATTGCAGGTCTGTGTCTGTATCAAATTATTCAAGTTTGATAGTTTAACCAGAAACCACAGAAACCTCCATCAGGGGGCGCCGTCTTACCTTGGCTGAGATCCCGCAGTCTGTGGACACAAGGAGAAGGAGGTTATAGTCTGAACCAGGAGGACAAAGACTTCTGACCTCTGACCGCCCCATTAGGGTCCAGAGGAGAGGAGGACAGGAGGGGGACAAGAGGAGCAGAGGACAGGAGGAGAGCAGGACAGGAGAAGGAGGACAGGAGGAAAGGGACAGTAGGACAGGAGGTGGAGGAGCCGAGGAGGAGAGCAGAACAGGAGGAGGAGCAGAGGAGGAAGACAGGAGGACAATAGGAGGAGGACAAGAGGAAAAGGAAAGGAGAAGCAGGAGGACAGGAGGAGGAGGAGCACAGGAGGACTCACACTCGTACGATCCTGTAGAGGCGTTGGCGGTTGCGGGTGGGGGTGTTTCCTCGTGAAGACAGCTCCAGCAGTTTGTCTGCGACGGCTCCGTAATCGAACTGTGACAGAGAAGCCTCAGTATCACCACAGTATGAACTAAACTGTCTCCTACGTCACACATTTAACTGACATTTCTTATCCAAACAACAAAGGATTTAAAAAAGTAAAATCAATACAATTTCTAGGGGTGCCCAAACTTTTGCGAAACACTGTAGCACCATCACCACAGTAGACTATCAGTGCTCTCGTCTGGAAAAGAACAGTGAGGACCACCACCTGCAGGAGGATCAAAACCGACTCCTGGATGAAGGGGATGGAACTTGATGGATGGGAAATTTTCATTAATTCATTCATTCTGCTTCATCAACTTCAACTTGGTCTTGGTGCAAACAGATGTGGCTCGGTTCTGATTGAGGAGAGACTAAAGCATGTGCCGAGAGTGTGGCCTCACCTGTAATATAGGGCCCATGTCCGGGTCACACGGCTGCTCAGAGACCGACAGGCCATCGTCTTCATCTTCATCATCATCATCATCATCATCATCCTCCTCCTCCTCATCATCATCAGAGTGAGTGTTTGTGCCTGAACAGAGCAGCAGCTTAGCACAGTCTACAGCTGCTTCACACTTCAAGAAATAACACTTCTGTTAAATTACACGCAATCTTCTTCTGTGGACTTCTCTAAACAGAAACCATCTGCAGGTGGATGTTTTAGGACAAATGTGTTCAAAGGTTGACAAAATGTGACAAAGGTTGTGGGGTGGGTTCGAGCCCACCACAACTTCACGACTCCCACTGATGTCTGCTGCCGTGGTGTCCTTGGGCACCTAACCCCACTTTGCCTGAAGCCCCCACTGAAAGACTACAGCAGCCATCCTCCTGTGGACTCACCTCCTGCAGGACGATCAGTGAGGGGATGGTGCTCTGTGTACTGGGTGCAGCTCTGACTGCCACCCCCCACCCCAACCCAGAAATGGATTAAGGGGAAGAAAATGGATGGTGTTCAAAGGAATGTGGGGAAAATCTTTGTCTGCCTACATTAAGAGTATTTACAGTATGTAGTGTGAGACAGATGAAAGCAGGAGTCCTGACCGTTGGTCTGTGGGGCTTTGCTGCTGGTTCTGGGCTTGTGGCCCCCTGCTTTCTCTGCTCTGCTCTTCAGATCCTCAGGGGCCTCGTCTTGCTCATCTGACGCCTGGCCTGAGTCAGAGTCCTGCTCCAGCTGATCCAGCTCCTCCAGCAGCTCCTGGATGGCGAAGGGAGCCTGGTCGATGATGTTGCTGAAGACGCTGCTGCAGATGGCACTGAACAGGGTGCGGCTGGACGCGAAGGGAAAGACAGGATTACAGACCTGGGAGCTTGAGGTTTGGTTTCAAACTTAAAGGAAACATGTTTTTACTGCTACACACACTGGGGTTGGGGCCAGTGTGGCTGACTGGGCTTCTGCCACATGGCCACGGGTGAAGCGGAAGAAGATTGATGGAGAACACTGTGCACATGTACAGTGGGTGTTTGACAATATGGAGACAAACCAGTGTTCTTCTTGTACACAAATCTTAACCCATTAAGGCCTGACACACCTGGTAAAACAGACCTGTAAAACCACCCTCTAAAACCTCAAGTTTTCCTCAGCCTCTTTAGCAGATAAAAACATAATTGAAAAAAAACCTAAATAAAAAGAATTAAGCTACTTTTTGATGATTTTACCCAACTTGACCAGACCTGGGTCAATTAGACCCTTTTAGCCCTTTATTTAGGGTATTTTTCTTCTACTTTTAATGATCTGTGGTGGGTAATTTTGACAGACAGAATAGAAACAGCACAGGAATATAGGACACTTCTAACTTGCGTACGTACTATTGCTGCAACTTTAAGATCAATCGCACTGTTACAGTTGACTCTACACTATCGTTTTACTTGAATATACGTTGTCCGAGTATATGTGGCCATCGAATCCAATTCAACCGAGTGACGTCCACTTTAAGACCTTTCAAGATGACTGCAGCTGATGCAAAAACTTACTCTTTAGTTTTTGCTGCCGTTTTCATAAAGGGTTGAATGAAGGCGAGGTTCTGATCCGCCGACAGCTGCAACACAAAACACAGTGATATGCCTTAACACTAGGACGCCCAGAGAAGTCATTTTGACAGAGTTATGAACAAGGTCCATACGCCGATAGTTACACCAAAACTAAACTCCTCACACTGAAGGCTCACGGTGTGGAGGAGGCAGGAGCGGTAACCCAGATACAACACAGGATTTTTATTTTAAATTATAATTATAAATTATGTAACTATCAATAGGTTTTGTGGAGGAGGCTACGTCGGTTACCATGACAACCCTCGTCAAAAGCAGGGGGGGGGGGTGTTTGGGAGTTCCTCGCCGCAGCACATTCACATAAATGCTATTGCTATATTTCAGTTTCATACAGCATTCAAAATTACGGCTCATCAACGCAAATGCCGTCATATTACCCAGCCCTAGAGTGAAGTAAGCAGAAGTACAAAGACTAACGGCCAGTGCAGTGAAATGACTCATTAAATCAATAAGAATCTGATGAGCACCAATACTACATTTGATATGGAGTAGTAATGAGGTACTGACGACCGCTGCAGTGACTCAGTTCACTTTTATTATAATTAGCATAGAGTTATTTTTCATTTATCTTGTGCGGTGTGCTCCTCATTCCTACTGTTCTGTAACTTGTGATGCAACATGGAAATTTCCCCGCTGTGGGACGAATAAAGCATCTCTTAATCTTAAACGCTCTTTAGAATTCTAGATTACCTCAAACACGTTTAAACTTTGAATATTGCCCGAATCCTGCTGCTGTCAGACTGTACGGAGAACAATGTGGCCTGACCTCACATGTTGTGCATCTGTGCAATAATTTTAAATACTGTCAGAATGGGCAATTTGGAACCATGTATATCCACTGTCACTTTACTGCCACTCATGCTGCCAACTATTTTTCTGCACTAGAATAAAACAGAATTCATACTTTATTACGTTAAAGCTAGAGATGCTTCACTTGCTTTTTCATCAAGCTAAAGTTCGAGGTACATTTATTTTGGTATAGAGTAATGATTGATTCATCTTGTGCTGTGTGCTCTTCATTCCTACTGTGCTGTAACTGCATGCATCTAGATTGTGTTTCCGTGTTTGTGCTGACCTCATGTGCTCCGACCACAGCCAGCTCCCTCAGGTACAGGTCCAGCACATGCAGCTGCAGGCCTACAGGGGGCGCTCCTGTGTGCAGCAGCTCACGCCACACTAGGTCCAGGAACAGGTCAATCTGACTGCGCACACACACACATCACAAAGATCAGGTCCATGAGGCAGTCAGGAAGTACCAGCACATGTTATTTCCATACATAAAGGCTTTCAATATAACATACAGCAACAACAAGTTAACAGTATGCCAGTGCTACACAATGATTTTAATAAAAACAAACACTCAATAATAAAATGGTCCTTCTGATGTCTTATAGCTTCTCTTCAAAGTAGAGAGTAGTCATATCCAAACCAGTGCACCATTTCAACCGGAAATAGACTTTCCTATGGACCAATAAGCTGTGAGGCAAGTGTTGTCTTCACGAAACAGAGGCGCTGTCACCTCTTTAGGCACTTTATTTTATTTATCGCCCATGACTATTCATTTTTCACTAATGAGAGTACCGAACAGTTCAAACACGTTGCTCACCAGCTGTGTGTTTGGTGGCCCCCGTGTTGTTGCCCGTGTTGTTGCCCGTGTTGTTGCCCGTGTTGTTGCCCGTGTTGTTGCCCGTGTTGTTGCCCGTGTTGTTGCCCGTGTTGTTGCCCGTGTTGTTGCCCGTGTTGTTGCCCGTGTTGTTGCCCGTGTTGTTGCCCGTGTTGTTGCCCGTGTTGTTGCCCGTGTTGTTGCCCGTGTTGTTGCCCGTGTTGTTGCCCGTGTTGTTGCCCGTGTTGTTGCCCGTGTTGTTGCCCGTGTTGTTGCCCGTGTTGTTGCCCGTGTTGTTGCCCGTGTTGTTGCCCGTGTTGTTGCCCGTGTTGTTGCCAGTGTTGTTGCCAGTGTTGTTGCCAGTGTTGTTGCCAGTGTTGTTGCCCGTGTTGTTGCCCGTGTTGTTGCCAGTGTTGTTGCCAGTGTTGTTGCCCGTGTTGTTGCCCGTGTTGTTGCCCGTGTTGTTGCCCGTGTTGTTGCCCGTGTTGTTGCCCGTGTTGTTGCCCGTGTTGTTGCCCGTGTTGTTGCCCGTGTTGTTGCCCGTGTTGTTGCCCGTGTTGTTGCCCGTGTTGTTGCCAGTGTTGTTGCCCGTGTTGTTGCCCGTGTTGTTGCCCGTGTTGTTGCCCGTGTTGTTGCCCGTGTTGTTGCCCGTGTTGTTGCCAGTGTTGTTGCCCGTGTTGTTGCCAGTGTTGTTGCCAGTGTTGTTGCCCGTGTTGTTGCCCGTGTTGTTGCCCGTGTTGTTGCCCGTGTTGTTGCCCGTGTTGTTGCCCGTGTTGTTGCCCGTGTTGTTGCCCGTGTTGTTGCCCGTGTTGTTGCCCGTGTTGTTGCCCGTGTTGTTGCCCGTGTGTGTGTGCTACCTGGGGTCCCACTGGCTCTTCTGCAGCAGCTCAAACATGTGCCTGAACACAAATCGAACCAGCTGCAAACACACAAACACATACAGCTTAATCTTCTCCGGGACTCTTTCCGTTTCCCCTGTTAATCAGTTTCTTTAATGAAAGTTCATGGTCCTGAAAAGCATTTAACAAATAATTCACCAGATCAAATACTTTCTTCTGTCAGTTTTCAGTACCAATGTTTTTTCCAGTTGCTGTGAACCTTTGCTTCTTTTTGCTCGTGTCTAACCCAGGCCTGAAAGAGCACCGCCATATAAACTGTTCACAATTCTGGTCAAAAAAAAGCTATGATCTGCACTTGTCTTGTTTCAGGGATCATGGATGACAAGGACTTTGGTGGTGTATGCTTAAGACAGCTCTGCAGCAGCGCGCAGACCCTACCACTTGGCCTTTTTTGTTGAGAATTTGAATACAAATAAATCCTGGAAGACCTAAACTGGTCGTTTCAACCCGTCCCCTGGTTTTTCAAAGATGTCCGCCCTGGGTTTCTCCGGGTCTCTCCAAGATGTCCTCATTGGCTCATGCTCGCACCATGGACATTAGCAAACATTAGCATAAGTGACGTGTTCGATCCAGCTCTGGTTCTCCTGGTCTTGTGCAGTAGGTGCAATGAGCATTCTGACCAATCAGAGCGCAACTGACCAGTGCAGAGTGAGAGCAAGCACATTTTGAAAAACGCTAACAAGAAACCTCGATCTGTAAGTACAGTGACACTAACTAGTTGTATACTTCTATAAACTAAATTATTAGGGCTGATTCTGGATCGAGGACTCAGGGCTCTATGTGACGGATTGTCATTGTAGGAAAAAGTTTATTCTCAGGTATGAAATTACTATGTACCGGAGATAAACAACTGGCAACGTGAGGCTAAGTCACTGTGCAGGCGGGGGGAGGCGGGCTCACGGACAGAGGAGCAGACTCCTCTGGATCAGCTCGTTTGAGTCAAGGTGACATCACCTCTCTGCAAGAAAAGGCTATAACCTCACAAGTTTTGAGTGTTGCATGGTGTATCACTCAAATTATTATCACACATGTGCATAGGATGAACTGTGAAACATGAAGAAAAGCAAAATATGGAACCTTTAAGCAGCAAGACCCGATCCAGAGTAAAAGATACATCCACAGGTTTAGTCCGAGGGCATGCAGCGTACCTGGAAGTATTTGTCCATGCGCAGACGGTCAATGCCGGTCCACTCCCTCTTCATGGTGGTGAGGAAAGTCTGGAAGAACAGCAACTCTAGACACAAACATATATGGTATTAACTTAAAAATAATTTACAGCCTTGAAGTAATGGCTATAACATACAATAAGCAGCCTAAATCATCAAGTTCTGCTTGACACGTTTGGGCCTTTTAAATGTAATTAGAATTAAGAATGGATTAAAGCTCTCATTCTTTTAGAATAAACAGCAGCAGCTGCCTCCGTCACTGATCCTTCCTGCTTCTCCAAAGAAAGTAATAAAATGCATCTGCAGACAAGAAGCAGCACTCACAGGGCCGAGGACAGATGCCTGCCCTCACAACAATCTTTATCTACTTTTTTAAAAAGGGACCATGAAATTAGAACAAAAATGTTTCCATTTGATGCACCGTGCCGCAGTTAGCCTTTGGCTAATGTACATCCGTAGCCCCCCAGCAGGAAGAACACTCCACGTACAGGTGGGAGGAAAGTAGCACAAACATACATACCATAAAATACACGTGTATACAGGTCAGCAGATATACACAGGGCAGACACACAGTCATTTAATACCAAGCTCCAGTCTATGGGGAACACACAGCTCTTGTATGCACTGAGATACCCTCAGAGGAGAGGCCTGGGTCATACTCACGGCTGCTGTAGTTGTGAAAGTGGTGGAGCAGGCCTGAGATCTGCGTGGACAGCTCCTCCTGAAGAACATCCAAGAAGGTCAGAGAGTACAAACACCTCACTAGTCCATATAATAGTATGGTGGATATATATTGAATCTATAAATGCACTATCCTGGACGCAGTCACCATTTCCAAGAGACAATAAAATATTACTTAAAGATGCAGTCTATGATTCATCCAGATGCAATGTTTAAAGTACTGTGGGGAAACGTCCCAACACCCCAAAAGTAATCAAGTTATTATGCCTTTTCAAATCAGAATGGACATAACCAAATGCCGACCGATAGAACAAAACCAGTGGGATGCGTTCCCCCTCTCCTTCCTGCTCTTGGTCAGTGCGCGCACCTGAGTTATTGCTGAGTGTTGGATTCTCTAAAACACCTAAAATGGCTAAACAGAAAGTGCCAATTTCCCGTTGTCCACCCACTCGTCCTGCTGTGGCAAAGAAAAGAAAATCATAGGAACAAAACACATTGTATAAGAACACTAGGAACACAGCAAGGGCAAAAACTTGAATCAACATCAGGATAATCAGCTGGGAATTCATAAAATTAATACAACTGAAATTTAAAATGTGTTATTTCTCATTTCAACAATAAGAAAATTCAGAAGTTTGATCAAGATGCTGGTGTTATATGTGTTTTGGACCCACCTCGTGACACAACATACAGTCCGCTTTACTCTAGTCACTCCTTTACTTAAAAAAACTGCCATACGGCTGGCATCCGCTTGCTACTAAGCTAGCAGCTAAGCTAAGCTGCTTGTTTAGTGGCAAGCTAGCGTCAAGCGCTTTCTTGCTGCAGACTTTTGGGGATCACCATGGCAACACGTGCCACACAGCTGTCTGCTGTTGTGGCGCTAATGTAAAATAAAAATGTGTCTATAGTATCGACCTGATACCGGTACATCCCTAGAAATAACTATACTGCATTTTATCACTTAATAAATCTAATAATTGAATGGCCTCATAATCCATCCCTGGCTTCCAAAACGGTCTGTAAATATCAAGGTTAGTTCAGTCTCCTGCCAGTGCATACCTGCAGCAGTGGCTTGTCCTGCATCCACAGACAATAGAAGAGACCCTTCCAGAGCTTCAGCAGCTCTTCCTCAGAGAATCCTGAGACACAAAGGACCACAATTGACTGCATGTTGAGTATGGACAGTGCTGAGAAGGACAAGCTCATGGACAACAAACATAATACAAACTCCCATTCACTTTCATAGAAAAGTAAACGCTCTTTCCTGCAACTGCACATGTTGCACTGATAATACTAAGTGCGTTTGTAATACTAGAGATTTCATTAGGCTGAGCCAAAATGTATTAAACACATTTTAAACTAAAGACACTACAGTACAGTCAAAATACATTAATCCAATTAGCATTTGTATCATTGTAATAATAATGTAACGGCCCTGTTGTAATGGTAGACTGACAACGTCTCCCTTGAAAACGATTGGATAAGATAAGAGATCCTTTATTTGTCCCAGAGTCGGGAAATTTCAATGTTGCAGCGCACATTACATATATGCACACATCTATTATATAATGTATGCCCAAAGTTACATTGATATAGGGCAGGGTAATAAAAAGATAAAGTGACATACAGTCAGTGGACATTCTGAAGTTGCAGTATTGAACATTGCACATGATTGCAGTATTTACTTATTTACAGATGAATGACAAGTACAGGCTCAGCAGTTCTCATTGTCCAATTTGGCAGGAAGGAAAGACCTGTGGAACCTCTCCTTCACACAGTGAGGGTGAATAAGTCTGTCACTGAAGCTGCTCTCCAGCGCAGACAGAGTGTCCTGCAGGGGGTGACAGTCATGGTCCAGCATAGATGTTAGTTTGCTCAGGACCCTCCTGTCCCCCACCTGCTGCACTGTGTCCAGAGAACAGCCCAGGACTGAGCTGGACTTCCTGATGACCTTGTCCAGCTTCTTCCTGTCCCTCTCTGTGATGCTGCTGTTCCAGCAGACCACACCATACAAGAGGCTGATACCACCACAGTCATAGAAGGACCTCAAGAGTGGCCCCTGCGCTCCAGAAGACCTGAGCCTCCTCAGCAGGTAGAGTCGGCTCTGGCCCTTCTTGAAGAGGGCGTCTGTATCATGAGTCCAGTCCAGTTAAAGGACTGTCCCCCGCTCTGACTGCACTGTAGCCTCCTGTGTCCTCTGACCACACTGTATCCCACATTCTCTGATCTCTGTGTGTCTCAAACGCAAATAAACACATACATACTTGTGGCAGCGGGCCTGTGTCTCATACAAAGACATCAGGTCCTCGACCTGTGCATGACCTGCTTGTGTCTCATACACATATACACACATACATACATGTGGTCCTGGACTGTGTCCTGGACTTGTGTATGACCTGCTTGTGTCTCATACACACACGGTCCTGGACCTGTGTCTGACCTGATTGTGTCTCATACACACACGGTCCTGGACCTGTGTCTGACCTGATTGTGTCTCATACACACACGGTCCTGGACCTGTGTCTGACCTGATTGTGTCTCATACACACACGGTCCTGGACCTGTGTCTGACCTGATTGTGTCCGTGAACGTGCGTTCAAGTAGCCCCGTAGTTTCTTGAGAGCTTTCCTCCGCACGGGCTTTTCGTTGGACGCCAGTCTTTGTGCGAACTGGACCTCCGGCTCCGCTGTTGAGGCCATGTTCTTTCCGAATCCTTTCGACACGCACCGCAAACACGCCGCGCACACACGGGCTGCTTCTGTTTTCCACACCACGTTTCACCGTCGCACACTGATGTCGTCATACCGACGCCGCAACCAGCGGAAACGCCTTCATATTTTTTAATTATTTATATATATATATATATATATATATAAAGTATTTTGGCAAGCTCATTTTGGTCGGGGGCCAAGTTTAAGGGCCAAAAGTATAAACGTTGTATACTTTTATCATCTTCATTTATTTTGTTTATTTTTTTGTAACATATTTTTGTATTTTCACAAATACCTTTTATTCGAAATGAGTTTGGATGTTACTTTCTAGTTTGGAATCTGGCTAAATATGTAAAAAAAAAATAAAAAATAGATGTATTTGAAGATTCATGTGCATAAAAAATTAACACAACATCTTTGGCCGAATATAACTTATAAATATATGTTAGTTAACATTTTAGAACAAATTCAATTACATGGTTGTTGTCCTGAGAAACTAAGCATTATAATCAGATGTAACATGCCATAGCCATTACCATCAATGCTGCAAGTGGGTGAAAGGATGTTATTAGAAAATCATTTCAGGCCATTAAAAATAGTCTCACGGGACAGATTTGGCCCACAGACCCGGGTTTGACATGTTTTGGCACTACAATGAGTAGTAACATTCAAAGAAACTATCCATTATTTTAAGCAAAGCAATTACTTGTAAAGCATCGTGAGACGTGGGTCTTCATCGAGAATCAAATGGTGAGATTCCAGGGGTTACAGCTCTGGTATGCTTTCCTCAAGAAAATTGAACAAATTCCTGAAGTAATAAAACTGATTGACACTTTTTCTGCAGCATCTGGTTTGACACTTAATCGAAGTAAATGTGAGCTTATGGCCATTCACAAATGTGCCCTCACTGAAGCATATAACATCCCTATTAAGTCTTGTATAAAATACCTGGGTGTTAACCTCACTAAAGACGCAGCCAGTAGTGAAACTTTAAATATACAAGCCAAAATTGATCAATGTAAAACTAAACTAAATTCATGGCTTCAACGAGACTTAACAGTCTTTGGAAGAACATATTTAACAAAAATGGAATCTCTGACAAGATGTATTTATCCAGCCTACTCCATGGCTATACCAGAAAAATCAATAAAAGACATAAACAAAATAAATTTTAACTTTATTTGGAAAAACAAAGTGCACTATATTAAAAAATCTGAAACTGTTAAAGAATATGAAGAAGGTGGACTTCAAGCAATCGATTTTGAATGCTTAAACACTGTATTAAAAATTAAATGGCTGAGATCTTTTTTAACAGAAAAAAATAGTGTCTGGTTCTGTCTCTCCAGGGGTCTATTTGGAAAAATGGGAGGTATTGAGTTTGTCCTTAGGTGTGATTTCAACGCTGATAAATTGCCAATTAAGTTGTCGTCCTTTCATAAACAAGTCTTGTTAAGCTGGAAACTCAATTTCACCCCTCACCAAACACAACTATGGAACAACAGATATGTATGGAAGCCCGTTTCCGCCATGTAAAAAAAAAAAAAGCATACAGAAAGTCAAAATTTTGAGTTTAAAACTCAAAATTACGACTTTTAAAAGTCAAAATTTCGACTTTAAAAGTCAAAATTACGACTTTAAAAGTCAAAATTTCGACTTTAAAAGTCAAAATTTCGACTTTAAAAGTCAAAATTTCGACTTTAAAAGTCAAAATTACGAGTTTTCAACTGCGCATGTGCAGTTGAAAACTCGTGTGTGTTGTTGTCTGGAACGGTCTCTGGACGTCCTTCACCTGCAGATTATGTGAAGATATTGCTGACAGTGACCACTGCATCCATGAAGTAGCCAGAAATAATGTTGTTTGATTGATTCTGTAAAACTTTCCTGTTTAAGCCCCAGACCGCGGTCGTAGGACGCAGGGGGGAGCTGTCTTTTTATTTATTTATGTTAAATTCAATTTACATATATACAACATTTAAATCAAACGACTTCTTATTTCGACATAGTAACAAATAATGTGAGCAATACGTTTTTATAATAAATCAAAGGAAAATGAGCCATCGAGACATTCCAATCCAATCTGCTATAGACCATTCTGACCAGACGATGGCGCTGAGAGGGGTCCACACGGAGCGAGTATTTCCACGGCTGAAAGGATGCGCTTTCTACGTGTTGTGTACGGGGTTTTATTCATGCATCTATAATGGGTTTATCTATTTCTAACCCTTTTCAAAGACCCTCACTGTTATCTGCGGAGTTATTTCTCCGGATTATTGCTAAAAGAGTCGTGGGCTTTATTTTGTCACAATAAAATAACCAGACAAGGTACTTATTCCCTGTATGTCTCTGTGTTCTTGCTCATACGCCAACAACTTTACCCGCACGCTCGCTCCATCAGCTCACCCCCGCGTGCACGCAAACACGTCACATACTCTTCAATGCACTGATCGCAATTCGGGCGTTCTGCTCTCCCAAAATTCCATCCGATGGGCGGGGGAGCGACTGAATTTTGCGTTGCATTATGGGTAACAGTTGCCTTCGCAACTTCCGGTTCTCTCTGCCCGGCGCATTTTCTCCTTGAGTTGGTTGAGTGTTTTCGTCATGGGCTTCAAGTGTGCCGCCGCTAATTGTAATTCTAACAGCAATAAAAAACTGAGTCGGTATCCGTGGATGTCAAGCGTGCGGTGGGTCAAGTGGCCGAAAAACCCCAGAGACATCAGCAGGTGGAAGCGCCTCGTAAGGAGGGGTGGAAGGGACTCTACTGGCTACGTAGATGTTTTTAATGTTAACAGATTAACCCGCTTGTGTTCAAGACATTTTGATCAGGACTCCATTAGAGCTGATAAAACGTCAACCTCTGATCCAAAATATTTTGCTTGGAATAACGGGTCAGCCCTTAAATCCAAGAAGCAGCAGAAGGACATGTGCAATGATGGATGAGAATGACAACCAGCCGGAGACTGTGGAAAGCAGTGATGATCTACCTGAAGTTGGGGCTGAAATTGTTAATCCTGTACCAAGTCAAAGGGAAGACTATGTAGGAAGTAAGTGTCTAAAATCTAACTATAATCATTATTTGATGTATTATGCTGTTCTAGTGTAGGAGATGCATTCAAGTTATCAGATACTAACTACTCCCCCCCCCAAAAAAAACCCCAAAATCTATAGCATAAAATAATTTAAAAAAATAAACACTATACAGACTTTAGAATTAATTATGTCAAGATGTTCATCCTAGATATGCATGCTTTATACAACATTTTCCATTCAGACACATAGTGATATTAGTTGTTTACAACTTGCAGTAAAGATAATACATGTACAAATACTCTAATACTTAAATCACTTTGACATTTTAAACCTGTTTTCACATTACCATTTAAGGACAGGTTAATTTATTTGATGATCATGAGAAATGTTGTAATGTTTTTTGTACATGCAAAATATCTTGATCTAATATATATTTTTAAACATTTTATTTCAGAGTTGAATGAGCTCAAGAATACCCATCAAATATGTCAACCTGCTGATCATGATTACCTTCAGACATCTGCTCCAACACTTGTAAATAGTTTCACACAGACAAGCCTGACATCAGACGACATTGAAGATCTACTGGCTAAGGCATCGATTCAGAAGGCAGAAACAACTTCCACACCAGGAAAAGATTTTGTTGAGATGGTCACAGACACTGATGAAAGAGTAAATTTTTACACTGGTCTTGAATCATCTGACTTGTTGAATGGTAAGTATAATAATGAAAGAAAAAAAACATTTATCTGTAAATATTGTTAAAAAAAAAATATATTAAGTTGATATAAAAGTATGGAATACACTGGACATTGGTCCAAATATCTTTCAATCATGTTTTAATCTCCCCCACAAGAAAAAGAGTAATAAAATGTCTTAAAATCTGACAATAATTTGTTCTTGTGTTTTATATGTCAAAGCACTTTATTTCATAAAGTGTACTTTTTTCCAAACAGGGGTTTTCAACTCAGTCAGTGAAGGTGCCAAGAATATGAAGTACTGGAGAAATACCAGCAGTAGTGCAGAAAGGAAATGGGAAGGAGGAACAAGGCCTGGCAGAAAAAGGAAGATGTCAACATTCTTTGAGTTCATTATGACTCTTGTTAGGCTCAGGTTGAACTTACCTCTTCTGTTACTGGCTGACTTGTTTCATGTTAGCACTTCTAAAGTATCAGAAATCACCACAACATGGATTTGCTACTTACATCAAACTCTGGTACCTGCTCTTCTGACTTGGCCATCTCAAGCCCAAGTTAGAGCCAGATTGCCTAAGGAGTTCCGTAAATATTTCCCCCAAACTAGAGCCGTAATTGACTGTACAGAATTTTATGTTGACAAACCTGCCAATAAGACTGAACAATATCAAACATATTCAAGCTATAAAAGTCATAATACTTACAAATGCTTGGTGGCAGTAAATCCCAATGGAGCTTTTACTTTTATAAGTGACTTATGGAGTGGCAATGTGTCTGACAAATTCATTACAGAAAAAAGTGGGTTTCTTGATCTTATAGAGAAAGGTGACCATATTATGGCTGACAGAGGATTCAGGATTGAGGAGTTACTTTTGCATAGTGAAGCTGTGTTGATTGCTCCACCCTTTACTAGACAGTGGTCTGCAGGCAAAGGCAAGAAGAGAAGGCTAAATGTTAAGGAGATTCACAAGACCAGGATGATCGCAAGGCTTCGTATTCATGTGGAAAGGGCCATACAGGTAAATGACAGTTGAGTGCAGATTTGACATGTACAGTCAATTTTAAAAATTGAGTAATAACAATAATGGTATAGAGCATAGAGGTTATGCATGCACGATGTCAAAGCATAGCATAGTAATAGCATGGCAAATAATATTCCGTCATGGCAACGGCATAGCAACAGTGAGAAGTCAGCCATTTTATTTTTGATTTGACACGGAAACTGGAAAATTAAGGGTTCAATTTATAACTGAAGTCACATGTCTG